GTAAAGATTATTGTGCCAAGTGAGAGTGTGATGGTGCTGGTATCACTTTTAATGTTTTATCTTTGAATATTACTTCCCTGAAAAATAATAAATGCAGTAAAAATTGAATTACGAGTGTTTTAAATGAATTGATGGAACAGTATTGAAATATGAAGGTCAAATGCGAGCATGGTGAGAGTGTTTTGTTTTTCGCTACTTTCCGCAATACATCTGTATCTTGGAACTATTACCATGTTTACCCTCAGCCAATGACTAGTTAATCTCCTTTCAGGCCCCTATCAGGGTTTATGAACAAAATAGGTCCCAAATAGCTTCTTCTGGTAAGAATTGACTAACATTATAGTCTAAGAGCTCAGATGGAAACAACGAACTGTTAAAAAATCCCTGATTTATCTCTTATATATTTTTATATAGAATTAACGTACGTACGTACAGCGAAATAACGGATATCGCGAACTGATATCTGATCCCTGACAAGCCCATTTACCACTAATTAGTGACGTGTATAGCCAACTGAGAAATCTCACTCAGTGTCAAGTGTCACTGACAATTGGCTGTACGCAATCAGCAGCGAATCAACACGATCAGCGGTGACAATTCAACTTGTTAAACTTGCAGTACGTTAATCTTACCTGTACATGTAATTGTACTAATCTTGTCTGTAAAACAGCTATGAAGTGATCACTGCTATTACACGTCAATGCTGCAATTATGTGGATTGTGTTTTGTTTGATCAAAGAAGGTGGACGTTCCCGAGCAAAAACGTGTAAAAGGAACAACGTATATAATGAACTGATTTCTCCATTCTCTTGTAGTTTGTTATATCCATGTTCTACTGTGTATATGCTTATAAACCTCCAGTGACGTCATCCTATTGTTCTCTGGTCGGGTTAAATCTCATAAACAGGGACGCTGTAATGTCCCTGGGATTTTATATAATATCCTCAGGATTTTATAGGATATTCAAGTCAATTACATTAAGTAATACGTTACCACTGTTATACCGAGGCTGTTGTCTCCCACAACTGCTGCTATAGCGAAATCTACCACAGAGATCTCAATTACCTCATGCAGCACGTGCGTAGCCACCTAGCTGCCATGTGACACCCTTCACTCTTGTCTCCTTCGCTTGCGTTAGCAAGACGTGTAATCCTCTGCTGAAGCGTTCCTCGAATATTCAACCCCCTCTACCCCTGCTCCTCGGTGTTGCGGAGTGTGCCGCAAGTTCTTGTCGTCCCGGGATCCCCATGATCGTTGCCCGCAGTGCAGGGTTCCTTGGGGGACACCCGGTGCACCCTGTGCGAAGGTCTGGGGCCTGCAGAGTTTGAGCGTTACCGACTGTACATCCAGTCCGTCTCCACCCCTGTGGTGGCCGGCTCGTCCGGTCGGGGTCCCCGTGCGGTTACCACCTCCTTGGCTGCGGCGGATCTCTTGGCGTCCCTCGGGCTGTCCAGGGATTCCGTCGCCGCATTGTTGTCTAAACTTGTGAACTCCAAGCTGGTGGCCTTATCTCAGGATAGGCCGCTGGCTGTTCCGTCCCCGGCCTCTTCGGTGGCCACGGGGTCCACCGGTACGGCGGCGGCTGCCGTTGTCTCCGGTCCTTCCCCCGAACCGTTGCTCCCGCTATCGGTTAAGGACCGTGTGGCCATGGTTTATGACCTCTTCGAGGACATGCCCAAGACCCTGCCGGTACCGCGGGGAATCCACGGCTCCGTGGGTTCCTCCGAGGTGTACGATGAGTCGTCCGACAGGGCTTTCCCGGCATCAACCTTGCTGCGCGGGATTAAGCCCTTCGCGGCTGCCTCCGGTCGGGGTCTCCTGTTACCTCCACCGTCGTGGAGAAAAGGGTCCTTCCCGGTGCATGACCTTGCCTTTCCCGAGGCTGGTCCTACCGCTGAAGCCCATGTTGAGCGTTTGGGTGTCCGTGCAGCAGCTGGACACCCTCGCTCGACACTCCATGCTGGCAATGTCTCACGGAGACACATACCTGGCTGCAGCGGCCAGTCTGGTCGAAGGTTTAAATGCTTCCCTGGAGTACGTTGTCGGGGCTTCGGCCTTTATTTCCGGCATGTGCCATTTTCTCCGGTGCCAGTCGTATCTGGTTGCCTCAGGGTTGGACGCTGCTAATCAGGAGGTGCTCCTTTCGCAGCCTTGGTCTGCTCGGACCCTGTTTAATAACAAGATCCCTGGGGTTCTTAAAGAACAACAGGCCGCTGTGTCTGCCGAGGCACATCCCAGGTGTGCGGAATGTACTGGCCGATGTCTAATGAGGCCTCGGGATCCGAGCCCAACAGAGTGGATGCTGAACCCAGTAGTGTTTCAGTGGCTGTGCGAATGTTTGGGTCGTCCGATGGTCGACCTGTTCGCAACACGGTTCAACAATCAACTCCCGTTGTTTGTATCACCAGTCCCAGACCCGAGGGCCATCGATCACGATGCTCTCGCGTTAGACTGGACGGGCTTGGACGCTTATGCTTACCCGCCGACAGCGTTGATACGACACATTCTAAGCCGGCTCCGAGGAGTTCGCTGTCGAATGTTACTGATCGCGCCCATGTGGCCGAACAGATCATGGTACCCCGACTTGCTGACCCAGGTCACGCAGTCGCCACTTCCACTGCCTGTGAGACCGGATCTCTTGATCCACCCTCACACCCGTCAGCTTCATCCAAACGCAGGGCAGTTCAATCTGCACGCGTGGATGTTGTCACCGAGCGTCTGAGGAGTAAAGGTTTTTCTCGTTGGGCGTCTCGGGCATACGTTAGTATGCATCGTGATTCTACCCAGAAGGTGTATAATGCACGTTGGGTTATTTTCACGAAGTGGTGTTGTAAACATCACATTCATTCGCCCTCTCCGGTGGTTCCATTGCCAACTATGTCTCGTCCGTTGCTATGGTACGGGACGTTGCTATGGGTACCAGTCTCTCTAAAGAGCCGGTGATACGGGGTATTATCAAGGGTTTCAAACAGCACGATCTTAAGAAGGGCCGCCTTCGGGCACCGGCCAGGGATCTTTCCCTAGTGTTACAATCACTTACGGAAGCTCCGTATGAACCCTTGCATAGTGCTTCGTTCTGGCATGTGACTTGGAAAACAGCATTTCTCCTCTCCTTTGCCACGGCGGCACGTGTATCCGAAATTCATGCACTCGATGTCGCCAAGGTACGATTCGACGGGTGACGAAGGAGCGGTCCGCCTGGGCCTGCTCATTGGCTTCGTCGCCAAGAATCAGAGAATCGGGCAAACGGAGAGAGAATTCACTATAAGATCACTCAAAGAAATCTTACATCCTGCTGATACTGAGGACCTGTGGATACTGAGGCGCTGTGTCCGGTTAGGGCCCTTAAGTATTATCTTAAGGCTTGGAATGAACGTAGACAAGGGCGTGACCGTCTGTTCATATCGTGTAACCCTAATCGCACGGTTGACATAACTTGCAACTCGATTGCGTTGTGGCTTCGTTCTGTCATCAATCTGGCGTACCGGTCTCGGGGGTTACCGGTAGCGGGGTCAAACCCGCACGAGATCAGGGCGCTAGCGGCAACATTTGCCCTACACTCGAATATCTCTGTTCACAGAATATTACGAGGTTGTTACTGGCTGCCAATCATTACCTCAGAAAGGTTTCTGATGAAGACGTGGAGGGGGTGCACCGTCTTGGGCCGCTAGTTGGCTACGCACGTGCTGCATGAGGTAATTGAAATCTCTGTGGTAGATTTCGCTATAGCAGCAGTTGTGGGAGACAACAGCCTCGGTATAACAGTGGTAACGTATTACTTATAGAATATTCCGAATAGGAAAATTCTACAATATTTGCTATATAATGTGTTATAATATCCGATGGATTTTATATAATGTCCTGGGTATTTTATTTATACGGTTCGGATTGTAACATGTAATGAAATGTAAAATCAAATGACAAATATTTTCTTTATATTCCCAAGGATCGAACACGCAACCTTCGTATCTGTAGCCCAGTGAGTGTACCACAAGGCTACAGAGGCGCTGATAAATCACAATGTTTTTAGGATGCCCTTTTCAAGATCCGTATGCCAGCAACAGATATTTTACGCCCGTTTCCTAATGTTCATGGAATGTATGTTTGAAACATAAAAATGTTGACAAATGTTGTTTTAAGTTTCTTTTTTCGGTTCATAAGTTAGATAAAACACTTCCCCTCGGGTTGTTAGTGATATTTAAAACCCTTTCCCTTGGAAAAACCCCTCGGGATGCGGGTTTTAAATATAATAACAACCCTCGGACGTGTTTTATCCTATACCTAAAAAATCAGCTTTAGAAATTGGCACTGGTCCTATAGTCCTTGCCAAACTGCCCAATAATTAAGGTATCATAACGACTAGTAGAAATTTGCCCTTTTTAAGGATTTTGCTATGTGTTATCATTATAAGGACTAGTGGACTAAAGCTAAATACAGTATGTATGAAACAAACCACCCCCACACAATAATTTTGACCCTCTGCGTAATTACCCAACCTTTACCTTTTTAGCTTGTGTACCTGTATGTCTTGTATACTGATCAATGCATGCAAGGGAGTAAAAATAGATTGAATACCAAAGAAAACTAGGGACAATTAGTTTAATATCCTAGAGAAATCTTGTACGTGGTTAACACACCACTTCCAAGATATCTGGTGAATTTCCAATATCTTGTCAGGGATTGATGCCACAACGTTTCAATATATATGAAAATGATGTTAATCTTCCTTTTAGTTTCTGGGTAAAGGATAACAAGATTATCACTTGCCTTTTTCCATGTCTTACGTGAGTCTTGGCTAGATATATAAGAAAGAATCGGATGTTCTTTAACTTCTTTTGAGTAGTATACAATGATATAAGTGAAGGCACCATGTGGTTCCGTGCAAGATTAGAAATTAGCACATCGTGGGTGGGTGGGTGGTTAGGTGGGTAGGTAGGCAGGTAGGTATTTCCAACCATTGACAGCTGTACTACAAAGACCTGATTGTTTGTGTGTTTCAGATTCCAGAGTTTGATAACCTGTACCTGGACATGAACGGCATCATACATATTTGTTCACATCCAGAAGATGACAACCCACATTTCAGAATCACAGAAGAGAAAATATTCTCTGATATCTTTCATTATATTGAGGTAAGAACTGTCCTTTAGTACTTAAATACTACTTCAATATGCACATATAGTCATGATAATGACATTGCAATGTATTCTAAAATATGGTAAACTTATTTGTAAATTAGGAAATATGTTATTAGGAAATATGTTTGTTAAGCATGTTAAACAAAGTAAGTACATGTACATGCCATCTATCCAAAGAGAATGCTATTTTACAAATGTCAGGTTTACATGTTGCTGCAAAAAGCTGCAAATTTGCTGATGCAATATAAAGCAACATTCACTTGGATAGATCTGATGTATGAAATTTTAAGACTTATCCTATCTCACACTATGCATTTCCTCTGTGGAAACGTGCTTGAACAAAGGTTTTACATCTTCTAAGAAACAAGGAACCAGAACACATCCCAGCATCACCATGGTCACTATCCAAACAAATGGGTCACGGCATATAATCCCGTGCATAGCTACCTACACGACTTGATCACATGGCTACCTCTGCCACATTCTCTTTCTCATCGCCACCCTGTGGAGGTGTGTATTGAGTCTCAGAGAATATAGATATTTTTTTATTATTGAGCTGTCTCCTGGTGATAACATCTACAACACAATTGACATGATTGAAGTGAATAGGAACAGAACGAGATAAATGTCATTAGTCGCAAGCTAATAGAATATTTATAGCTGTGCGGTTGATCATTTATCAATGTCCTACGTGAAAACATGACGCATATTATACCTGATGTCAGGTTGTTAAAGTGATACATTGCTTAATATGTTGTTCTACCCACTCACAAGTTCTTGTCTTTACGACATGCGACAGTGTTGTAACTATTTTTTTTGTCAATGTTAGGCTAGGGGATCTGCGCCCCGCAGTCCCACTGTGTGAAAATGCATCGTCTGAGATAGGATAAGTTAAACTTTTTATGAATTGTATATTTATTATACTTATCCTATCTCACACGCTATATGCCCACCTGGCCATCCCATCACAGCTCCTCTAGCCTGTCAGCTCTAAGGCAGAGATAGTCATGTGATCAGGTCGTGTAGGTCGCTATGCACAGGATTATAGTGTGTGACCCATTTGTTTGGGTAGTGACCATCTAATGTGTTCGGGTTAATTGTTTTTAGAAGTTGGAATCTTTTGTTCAAGCATGTTTCCACATAGGATCAAAAGAAGGAGGAGTAATGCATAGCGTGAGATAGGATAAGTATTATAAATATACAATTTAATGGAAAATTTACAATTCTGTAGAAACTTCCCAAACAGCCAACTGACATGATTCTTTTTCAGTTTTTGTTTCGCATCATAAGACCAAGGAAAGTTTTCTACATGGCTGTTGATGGTGTTGCTCCTAGGGCAAAGATGAACCAGCAGCGTGGGCGAAGATTCAGGTAAATACGGAACATGCACACATATTATGCATGTACAATGTACACGGTTCTCAAGCCATGCATTAACCTAGCTTGTCCAATGCCTTTCTGCTACTGAGCACTGGGTCAGAATATGTTCTCTGGTCACACGTGGCCAGTTTTTTTCTCCCTAAATTTATTTATGTTCATAAGCCACATGAGGTTCCCCCCCCCATGTATGAGGTGTGAACTAGTTAGATTAGCCAATGGTGTCTTCCCCTGCGTTCCCAGTAAACCTTTACTATTCTTATAACATGTCTGCAGTGACAATTGTGCTGCCACATCAGCAAGAATGTATGGCTATTACTTTGAACATGGAGGCACAGGTGGCCAAGTCTTCTAGGGCACAGCAATTCGCTGTACCAGCTGTGTACAGAGTTGCACCCTTTAGTAGTTGTGGGATAATACACTGATACATCGGTGGATTGTGATTTTTTTTTTGCTTCTTGCTACAAGTATCGATCACAACCACACACTGAGTAAAAAGTATTGATTCTTACCTTAAATGCATTCTTTAATAAATCTTTTCACCAAACTAGTGAAAATTAGTAGTGAAAAACAGACATATTTTCATCCATTGCGCCATACTTGACACTGCCAACTGAATCCTAATATTGCATGTTTGATTCCCACATTTGCCCTGATTATTTCTTTCTTTGCTTTCATCAAAGTGGTAAATGTCTGAGACCTGCATCACTTTGGGCTTTCCTCCCACATGAAGCTGACACGCCATGATATAACTGGAATACTGATAAAAGTGGCGTGAAACCCAACTCACCCACTAACTCACTCACTCACTCACTCACTCACTCACTCTCAAATTTCAAATTTGGACTGCCCAAGTTTCTTATCACCCGTTTGTTTACCGGAATGCCCTGAAGGGGGTACGGTATAATTTTTTTCTGCGCATAATATTCGAAAAATCTTTTTTCCAAAATACCGAATCCACTAGAGCGGGGCGCGCATTATACTTGGGTCCGCACTATACCCAAGAAAATACGGTATATAAAAGTACCGAGTCTCTAAACAACTCTGCACACTTAAATGTACCCAGCAACAACTCTTCATGAGACTTCTAAAACATCACCAGTTCAGTTCATGACATCGGTGAAAGACTCATTTATGGTTTTAAGACTCTGTGGGTACTTTCTAGTCCCCTCAAAGTACCCGGGTACATCATAGTGCCACGTGTACAAGGTGTGGCGACAACGACCCCACAGCACATGATTCCGTGCTCACAACTGGTTCCAAGCCTGAGTACCATTACCAATAACAGAGGGAAAATATCAGGCAGTTGCCCTTAGCAATTACTCTGTCAGAGGCATCCTTTAGGGAAACAGTAATGTTTTTGTTTTGATAGTTTGATTTTATTTTGTCCTTATTCTGGAAAGTACTGAAAAATCCCACCAAAAACAGGATTTAGGTTGCGATGGTGTAACTGTGATATTGCTGACAACAGTATCAAAACTAGGAGGTTATTTACACTTATTTTGTGTCATCCATGATTATTCTAGAAATGTGCTTGAAAACTGAAAAGTAGCTTGTCAGTAGTATCTTTAATATGTTCATCTTCCTGAGGCAAGAACGTCCACTAGCCTTTTGATCAAAGTCTTGTTGTTTTCATCCTTGCCATTTCAAGTCTGCTTTTCTGTGCTAAATATGATTGGACTATTGCACATATCAATAGTCCAATCAGAGAATGCTTCCTACAATCAATAGCCATGACTGGTACATGTTTGTGTACAACTGATTTGCCCTTGCCTGTCTTTGTTGACACGAATATGTCTTTTCCATCTTTTAAACCCCTCAGCGATTGCCTGTGTTTGTCTGTCAGGGATGAAATTGAAATGTTTTCGTTATCTGAGCGACTAGGTCGTTGTCTATGGTAGTCGCCATCTTTGTGAAGCCATACGAGATAACAGTGATCTGATTGGATATTGTGTTTTCATTACAAGGAGCACAACTCGTGATCTACGCGAACTGGTGCCAGGGTTAAGCCAAGAAAAAGTGGACTTCATGTGGCAAGGGTAGAAACTGGGCATTGGTATAGGCTAGTGGACAGGCTTCTGTGTGTTGATGAACATTTTTTTCCAATCCAGATCAGCTCGTGAAGCTGAAGATTTGATAAAGAAAGCGCAGGAAAAAGGAGAAGTTTTGCCAACTGAGAAGAGATTTGACTCCAACTGTATCACTCCAGGTATGTTGGATGACTGGGACAATACAACACAATGAAGTACATACACTGCATCATAGTAAGCATCTTATTGCTAGTCACGATCAGGAGTGTAGTGACTCAAAGTGTTTGTTTGTTTGATTCCTCACATTGGTTGAGACGGCCTTCTTGGTCTAGTGGTAGAGTGTCCACCCGGAGAGCAGAAGGTCTGGGGTTTGATCCCTGGTTGCGTCATACCAAAAAAACGTTAAACGGTGGTACTTGTTGTTACCCTGTCTGGCCCTTGGCATTGAGGGGCTAAAACAAGGACTGGTTGGCTCAGAGTCAGTATTTTGTGTCTGAGTGGGGTATTCATGTTAAACTGTGGTATGGTATCTCAGTGGGATAGCACTATAAATTGGCATCAGTCCGCATGCACGTCGCTATATGAGTGCAATAACTCGGACACAACGTTAAACCCCATTTCACCTCACATTGGTTGAGGGTATGAAGGCACGGGTGTCTCTCACGATGATATTGCCAGAATACTTCTGGAATAATGTTAAAGGGCATGACAACTTACTCAGCTAATTTGATCTGAGATATACACAGAATAGTATATCGTATTATACATGTATTTGCTGCACTTGTCCAGACATTTCTGCTCAATTTCGTATTATTCTCACATCCCTGGGGAGTATACAACCCAAATTGCTTACAGGCACTAGAAGGTTTTTACATCCGCCTCATATTGGGAACCCTTTCCCTGCTGGGTGAACAGAAGTACATTTGAACTAAGTTTCTTACCCAGGGTGACACAACTTGTTTTGACGTGTGTTACGGGTGTATGTACGTATTCATGTTTCCACCATCTCGTCATATACCATCGTACAAGTGGGTTCTCTTGAGTACATAGGGTGTATGTACTGTACACAAGGGGTAGTGACAACACTGTAAAGATGTGTAAACCTTGTGGGTCCATAGGCTGAAAAACAACCCATTCACTAGCGGGATACGACCTCAGCACCTGTTGCTTGCTAGGCTGGAGCTTTAGACCGCTCGCCCACCCTGCCCCATGTTATGGTGCAAATGATGTATTTGAGAGATTAGAAACATGCTAAAATAATTTGAATAAGTTCAGGTAGGTTAACTTAGACAAGAGGTACACCATGTACACAGTATCACTTATCAGTGTTAACAATTAACTTAGGATGAGATCCATAAGTTGGCTTCTATAGTCTTTGAATCTTGGGGCCAACTTAAATTCAACTTTAACATCAGGATTATGACACAGACCCTTTTATTTTCATGAAACTAGCTAATGAATTAGCCTGAATCAATTTCAAAGCTGTACTGACTTTTCTGAGTTTTCATAATGATGTTTTCAGTATTTGTGCAAGTAGTCATGGTAACTGTCCAGGTTTGACCATTGGTAGTACAATTATGCTGATGCAGTTATGATTGTTATTTATATGTACACTTTATTATCCCCCGTCATGAAGTGGGGCAGGAGACATTGGAAATTGAATGGAGTTTGTCTGTTCGTCCGTCTATCAGTCCGGTGCCTCATGGCAGGGGATAGTGATGATGCTGTTTCGATGTTTCATTTTTCATTTATGATAATTTAGGTTTTAATGTGACATTGAATTTATCATGTATATGTAAAAATAATAATACTGATAAGATGATATGTTGTCTTTTCCTGAATGACAGGAACGGAGTTCATGGTGAAACTACAAGAACAACTGAAGTATTTTGTGGTACAGAAAGTTACAACAGACCCCTTGTGGCAGGGACCTGAGATTTACTTGTCTGGTCACGAGGTGAGTTCTGTTATGATTGTATCAAATATACCAGGCACAATTCTTGGATAGTTCATAGTCAGTTTTGCCCAATTGGGACCATAGGTTTGAAAAGGTCCCCAGCAAACAATGCTGGTCTCAAGAGGTGACCAAATGGATTGGACGGTCATGCTTGGTGACTTGTCATCATACCTAACTGAGTTGATCGTTGCACACAACATCAATCACTGGATTGTCTGGTGCAGGCTGGAATATCATATAGCTGGAATATTGCTGAGTAGGGTGTTAAATGACTAACAGTCATTTTGACATAAACAGTGATCCAATTGGTCTTTATACTACGGGGCATATATGGACCAGTTGTCTAAGGCAGACTGCAGAGTTGCATGCCTCAGACATGCAGTGACCCTATGGTCTTTTATACTATGGGACATATATGAACCAGTTGTCTAAGGCAGACTGTACTGAGTTGCATGCCTGAGACATGCAGTGATCTATTGTCATGGGTTTGAATCCCAGATTCACCTTGATTATGATCATTAGATTGTAAGCACCCTCCCCATACTTGTGGGTTTCACCAAAGTGTTAAACGTCTGAGATCTGCATCACTTTCAGCTTTCCACCCACATTAAGCTGACGACTATGATGTTGCTGCAATACTCAATAAAGAAGCATAAAAGGCAAAAGACTGCCTCATTTTGGAGAACCATGATTTTAATATATTTTACTTGATATTATATAGATAGCGACCGAAGACCTATCTTTGTCCTCTGTGTGTTATCCCTGCTTTTCTGACATGATACATAACACAAAATTGTGTGTATTATTGATTTCCACTCCTGAGTCTAAGTATTTGTGCGTATTGTTTCAGACCCCTGGCGAGGGAGAACACAAGGTCATGGACTTCATTCGTTATGAAAAATCACAGCCAGGTTACGACCCTAACACACGCCACTGTCTCTATGGGCTGGATGCTGATCTTGTAAGTTGTCATTTGTATACGGCTCCACTTTTCATAGAGATATGTTTAACTTTCCGTGACACACAAAACAGATTCTCGTAATATATGAACGTATGCTATCTCACACAACGCATTGCTATTTACTCTTCAATCCTGGTGTGGAAACATCCTAGAACCAAGTTTCCAACTTCAACAAACAACTCACCCCAACACATCACATGCATTACTACTATCACCACTGTGATCATGGGTCACGTACCATTGCAATCCTGTGCGATGCAATCACGTGCCATCCTGTGCGACTGGAGCCCTAGCGATGCAACCCCTTGTGATCCGATCACCTGATACTCCCTGCATCCTCATTCACTTTTTACAGTCGTCCTGGGGGCGGTCGGGTAGCCTAGTGGTTAAAGTGTTCACTTGTGACGCCGAAGATTCGTGGTTCGATTTCGGGAGTACAATGATGTCCCATTTCTGGTGTCCCCCGCCGTGATATTGCTGGAATATTGCTAAAAGCGGCGTAGAACCATACTCACTCACTCACTCACAGTCGTCCCGCATTCAGCCGACTACCATACTGTATCATCAACTGACGTGTTAATGTTATTCTGTCGCCATAATCGAGGGATATGCCTAGGTTGTCAGCCGACAGTCGCATCTCCGAACCTGTGAATGTCCCAGGATTTCACCGCACCCTGCTGGTTGCTGATGATATCTCTCCTCTCCTATGTTTGTCAGATCCTATCCCTCGTCGGCTCTTAACTGATGCATCGTCACTCTAGGGTTTGACAGCTCTCAACAGATTGACATCACTCGAGAAATTGATGATCGATAGATCAATGTACATTGACAGATTTACATGACACAGTCTTTGATGGTTCGACAATCGATAGCTCATCATAGTTTGATCACCCTGAGCACCATACATTGACAGTTCACCACGTAGCCAGTGATTGACAGTCAATGTTAGATTGATGTGGCTCGACGACCTTGGATTGTTCAACAGGGATCAAAAGAACGTTCTCGTTCTCAGGATTGTCGTCTATGCATCATCACTAAGTTGACCAGGAGTGGGATCTACATATGGATTGCTGTGATCTGATTTGCTGGAACCATCTGGTCCGAGATCAAGGTACAGTTCATAGATCTCGTATTCTGATGACATGCATGGTGCTCTTAGTCTGGCGACAATATGACAGTCAAGATAAGGATTGTCATCATCAACCTTGCTCATCAATCCTATGGGTTCGGAGACATAATTACAGTCTAGATCACATCAGACTCTATCAACTGCGTTCTCTCAGTCTGACTTTCAAGCTTTCGTTCAGATCATGTCTACTGCTTTTAGCGTACATGGCTTGTATCAGTACCTGACACTTATTCCACATGATTCTTCTACGAGAGTACTTTCACCCTCACCATGGAAGCGTTCAGACAATAATATAATAAACCTTCGTAGATTAGACAGGGACGATTGGCGGGAGCGTTCTCCGTACCCGTGCCTTGAGGTTCCGTGGAAATGCCACATTTATGAAAGTGATCATCACCAGTCTCAAGATCAATACCCTTGTCTAAACAAGGAAGATTTTCACAACATAAGAACGCTCGATTAGATGATCCACAGAGTCATCATGTGCTACTCCTGTTTGGGATCGTCGTTCACAACCTTTGTTATTTTCACCAAACCCCAGCTATTGTTATTGCGGTTATATCTGAGGATCGGTCATTCAAGATCAAGAATATACCCCTCTCGGGATAGACATCGACTGGGTTCTTCAAACTTTCACCAGTACGATCAGCAGAGATTCATAGATTGTCAACTCTCAAGATTTATTTTCAACTATAACAAAGATCAACTTGCTACTGCACCGTTCACACATTCTACAGGGAACTGACAATGAACGATGACCCAGATTTTCCAACTGGTGGCTTAGCTTCACATTCAAGTACGAGACGGACGCATTCAAGAGATTCACAATATGATCATAGATACTCTATTGCGATCGGATCATCCATCCCAATGACAACTCAAACTGTCGACCTGTTATTGACCAGATACAACAATCTGAGAAACTACTGACATTCATCTCACCCATACAGGACTAGGCAATAGGAAGCACAATGCACTAGCCATCTCTTGGGAAGAACTTCGGCTACTTTTGCAGGTGCTCTTCTGACCAGCAAGGAGCTGACTGTGCGCATCTTTACCGAACACCCAACCTTTACCTCTTTGCAACCGGATTCAACTCGTTACCAGACATGCTTCATCTTTGCGTTTGGCACATCTCCAGAAATCTCTCACAGCCAAGGGTTATTCTCGGAAGGTGGCTCGGACTAACACTGAGGCACATTGCACATCTTCTAAAGCTTGGTGCGATCACAAGTGGAAGTCAGTTGAAGACTTTTGTTCAGATATTTCATCTCCGACCACTGTGTCTGGTCAACAAATAGCTGAATACCTTCAACATTTACATATTACCAAGAAGTTGGAAGGCTCCACTTCAGCTACTATTTGTCTGCGATAAATTCCATCAGTGCCACAACTACGGATTCAAGGTCTCTTCTGTTGCGGAGCTGACTTACAGTAACAAGGCACCTCCCTTCATCAGGTAATGGGAGCACTTATACGACGTCCAGGGGATGGCATTTATATATATATATATATATATATATATATATATAGCTTTATCTACTGGATACAGCTTCAACTTTATCGTTCTTCCCACAACAGTCTCGTCAAGCCTCGACAGTCGGTTAGGGAGCACGACTTATCGTCAAGGCATGACACGATCAGAATTTCTCCTGAACTTTACACTCTTGTAGACAGCCTAATTTAAATCTGCAACCTGTTCTTCAGCAGCCCATTACACTTCACCAATAGCAAGTGCTCTTGGGACTGCACACATCAGCCTAGGACCTGATGAACAGGGGTTGGTTGCATTTACAACCGATCCAACAGTTCTGCATCCCTCTACAATAAATGTCAATAAAGTTGCTTGGTTTTGTGTCTTTAATCAGAAGAACATGTGCCTGTTGCTTCTTCTTTTATTACTCTTTCGTATTGAATTATTGAAATGTACACTTCGAGAATTTAGGAACTTTCAGAAGAGTCTCATTTGTTTGTTGCATCTGCTGTTTTAACTTGAGATGTGAGCAGCCATTGTAGAAATCTACTATGTTATACCTGTTTCAGATTGTATTGGGTTTGGCGACACATGAACCTCATTTTTCTCTCCTCCGTGAAGAAGTCCGATTTGGTGGAAGGAAAGAGAGGAACAAGAGGTGAGATATTAGCAGTAACTGTATCACTAGTACTATTTCGCTTTTTATCTTCATTTGAGCTAGGGGTCACAAGTAACCAAGTCATCTAAAGCGCCGCAATTCCCTGTGCAGAGTTGCATCCCTTGGGCATGCTAGAAAACTATGATTGTGGGTTTGAAACCTTGTTCGCCCTGATTATGTTTCTAGGTTTGTCAGCACCATACCCGTGCTTGTGGGTTTCACCGAAGTGGTAAACGTCTGAGGCCTGCATCACTTCGGGCTTTCCTCCCACATTAAGCTGTCGCGCCTTGTTATAACTGGAATACTGTTAAAAGCGGCGTTAAACCCAACTCACTCTCTCATTTGAGCTATTTTGCAAATGACCAGCAAAATGTGAGAAATTAAGTACCCTATATTTGAATAGACAACATGGTATTGATTTTAACAAGCAAAACACAAAAGATGCTAAAAATGGTACTTGTTATTACCCTGCCTGATGCTCAGCCTTAAGGGAAGTCGGTATACTGTGTCTGAGTGTCTCAGTGAGCAGGCACCATAAAACCGGTGTAATTCCGGACTAGTACAAGCGGACCCACTCGACTATGTAAGTGCAATGATCTTGAACACGATGTTAAACCCAATTTTACCTCACCTCCTGACAAATGAATGTTTCCACTAATGATCTCATCTCATCACGTGTAGATAGATCACAATTGATTAATGTCACATTGTTTGAATGTGAATTTGTTTGACATTTTTCCAGACCATCAACACCAGAAGAAACAACGTTTCATCTCCTCCATCTGTCTCTGCTCAGGGAATATCTGGATTATGAGTTCTCTGCTGTCAAAGTGAGTGGGCATGTCTCAACTAATATCGGTACTGTGCAATTGAGCTCCTTTGAAGCCTTGGCCTAAATATAGTCATTACTACCATGTGAAATTGCTTTGTGCAGATTGGGGCCAAATAGTTCCCCAATACCCCATGTTTGTCATAATTGCAGGATGCCGTTGTACAAAACAACCTCAGCACTACGACTGTCGTAAGTCTGTGTTAAGGTATGGGATTTACGATCACCTCAGCGCAAAGATCACTTTGAACAATGGCACCCAGACCAGTGAGCTTGGTAAGGGTTGGGTAACTTCTTTGAGTGGCATTTAGAAGTTGGAATGGTAACTAAGACAAAATTGTTATGGATGAGCAACTTCTTTATTACAATTGGGCAACGTTTCAGTGTAGATTCTAACACCTTTATATAAACATCTATCTATTGTTATGTATATAGATCATGCTCATACCTAGTTTGTACATCATTTGCTTGATAACGGTGTTAGAATCTACACCGAAACGTCGCCCAATTTTTCATAAAGAAGTTGCTCATCCATAACAATTTTGTCTTAGTTAAGGGTTGGGTAGTTACAATGTATGACTTGGCTGACTGTGTGTCACCGTACCCCGGATGCCAAGCTCCTTCCCTGCTCATAACACACGTCACTGCCTAAAGAGTGGATGTGGCCAATACAAGAATATTGAAATCTGCCCTCTAGCCTCAAATGTAGTGACCTTAGTATTTTTGTGTAAGTCTTTGGGAATGCTATCATAGTGAATTTTGAAAAGGTTTACGACTGACTTACTATTTCCCAGATAAATGTTGGTTTTGTTTAATCAAATTGGTTTGAGATTGCAGGATAAAGGAAAAGCACATATCTTCCCTAGTCAATTACTTAATATGGGTAGATGAAATGAAATAGAAATTCAAATGAACAAGCAAAGAGAATAATTTAGGTGGGGGAAGAGTATTGGCTGTCATGACAGTCCTCACTTGTCACAATCCTCAGTCGGTTGAAAGTTCAACTCCATGCATGGTTGTGGCCACCTAGCACAGTGGGGAGCTGTGACTGGTAGCAGCAACAGTGTAGAGAGCTGCTGTAACAGGCGGTGACCTGTAAAGCCCATCAGGATATATCTGGAATATTGCTCTCTGTGATGCTGAACACTATTCACAAATTCACTGTTTTTTTAAAATAGTATCAACTCAATTAAACACTGTGAACTCAACATTTTCAAATTTATGTTTCACGTTTCCAGAAAAAGAACCTGCCCTTTCCTTACGACATAGAGTGCATTATAGACGACTGGATTCTCATGGGATTCCTGGTGGGCAATGATTTCATCCCACATCTGCCTAACCTCCACATTAACCATGACGCATTACCATACCTCTGGCGGACATATGAAGAGGTGCTGCCATCACTGGATGGTATGTTAGGCAGAAACACCTCACTTCTTTTTGCAAATTGTGTGGATGCCGGTGGAGCAGCACATGCTTACCCTTTTCGCAAACACCTGGTGTCATCACTGACATTTGGTGATCCATTCATATAAGCTTAAATGTTCTGTAACTTCTTTTGAGTAGCATACTACACCAAACCAAATGTATTGGTATCTGTCTGGAAATGCATGGTGGTAGCCAATGATTTCTGGCACTTCCTGGAAAAGATGAAGGGATTGCTTCTGTTTTGGTTTGAAAACTGTTTTCTTGTTTCCTTCGATTTTTCAACTTAATGATTTCATTGTGCTTTGAGACCCGTGAAGATCCGGGGTAGAATAGGTCTTCAGCAACCCATGCTTGCCATAAAAGGCGACAATTCTTGTCATAAGAGGCGACTAATGGGATTGGGTGATCAGGCTTGCTGACTTGGTTGATGCATGTCATCGTATCCCAATTGCGTGGATTGATGCTCATGGTGTCAATCACTAGATTGTATGGTCCAGACTCGATTATTTACAGACTGCTGTCATATAGCTGTAATGTTGCTAAGTGCGGCGTTAAACAACAAACAAACATTGTACTTTGACATTGTTGCCTTTGTCAAATATTCAAAATATTGTTTTCACAGGTTATTTGAATGAGGGTGGCCATTTAAATTTGAGAAGATTTGAGAAATATCTTGAGGCTCTGGCAAAGGTAAGTTTGTTCTTGCAGTAACAGCATCTGCTTAGTTTAGAAATCCATTCAGTGTGCACAGATCATTTGTGAGCCTGGGCACAGGTGTCTCAGTCATCTAAGGCACTGCAATTTGCTGTGCTGAAACCTGGGTACGAATCCTTGTTCACCCTGATGATTTGGTGTGCTAGCACCATCCCTGTGGTTGTGGGTATCACCGGAGTTGTAAACTCACTATGATTGACCTGAAATACTGTTCAATGTGGCGTTGAACCAAAATCACTCACTCACTCTTTTGTTTTTGCAGTCTTAGATGATATGGGATAGACACCACGAATATAACCCAACTAGTCCACAGTTCAAGTCAGACAAGTGGTTCATTTTCACTCCTCTTTGGCTAAATAAACAAGACGGAAGTCAATGAGCACCTATATTCAACACTGTGACTGCAATATTTTTGTGCAACAGCTTATGTGCTCTCCATATTACATAATATCAGGCAATGGAATATTGGTGTGTGTGTGACATTAAACAACAAGCAAACAATACTTGATTAAAAACAGACTCCCATCACAACTAGGGCTGTGTTTTGACCTGTATTTTGTATTGCAATACATTGCCATACTTTAACTTGTATTTACATTTTCATGAGTTAATCAGAGTTATACCCTGTATAAATGTCAGATACCGTCAGTCAGTGTCCCTTATTTGGGACGATGTCGAAATCATCTACCATTTTGTATCCCAGCAACGATCAAGGGAGATAATACGGTCACATGGTAGCGCAAGCTCCTTCCCGGCGCGTGACACCTTTGTTATATTCTAGGTATAGAGATCTCCGCGAACAGGCTACCGCTGTGAGGAGCTTGATAGTCGTGATGTGTTGATAGTCGTGATGTGAAGATGCTAATTGATAAAGAGATCGTCAGGCAAGTTGTATCTCCATATCAATTAGGAACACATAAGTATTCTTATCTATATTTGCCCCAATTTATGCTACATATACAAACGTATCGCAATACATATTGCTGAAGATTTGCACCACAATATACAGGTGTACCGGTAATACTGCACACCCTCAATCACTATTTCCACTATCAGCCATATATATTCATGGGCCATGGAGGAACATACATTGTACAAATATGTGAAGTACTGACAATGACAGACTTGTGGCTATATCTGACCATGATGACATTGATATTTTCACACAATCATGATCAGTGGTAGAAAAAATCCCATATTATTAGTTATGGTGTCTTTAGTTGCCATATTAGTTAGCAGAAAAATATTGAGCGAGGCACCGTATACGGCAACTAAAGACACCATAACGAATTTATTAAGCCGAAAGTTTACACTCTCTGGTATCCATATCGCACATGTGTCAAAATGTAAACTTGACACTTACAACCGTACATTAAAGGTCAAAGGGAGCCTACTCTTCAAACCTTTGACGACAAACCTTGTTGACAATTTTAAGTCACGAACGTGATCTTAAAAACAGATTTTTGTCCTTGCACATCACAATTAATGATAGTAAAACATAAAACAGTGTCAGATAATGAATTTCGGTACCAGAATTTTCATGTGAAATATGTGATGTGGGTGTTTGAAAATCCAAGATGAATGTTACTGATGGTATAAAGTCTCATATTAGGTCAGTATCAACCATCTTGGATTTTTGACCCCGCCGCGCGAATGCGCGAAGCGGGGGACATAGTATTCACGACCGTCCGTCCGTACATCCCACCTGTTTGTTGCCGCGATATCTCAAGAACTAAACACTGGATTGTCTTCATATTTGGAACTATGGTGTATATACAGACTCCACAGACACCAGTCGGTTTTGGTGACCTTGACCCCATTTTCAAGGTCACAGCAGGCAAATCTGCTTTTGGAGTTGTCAAACGGTGTTGCCGCGATATCTCAAGAACTAATTGCTGGATTGTCTTCATATTTGGAACTATGGTGTATATACAGACACCGCAGACACCAGTCGGTTTTGGTGACCTTGACCCCATTTTCAAGGTCACAGCAGGCAAATCTGCTTTTGGAGTTGGAAAACGGTGTTGCCGCAATATCTCAAGAACTAATCGCTGGATTGTCTTCATATTTGGTACTATGGTGTATATACAGGCGGGGGACATTTCGTCACTTTGTGACAAATACTTGTTGCTCATGTGGGGTCGGTAGTTCTGCTCTCTGATTGGTCAATCTCACTTTGAAGCATAATAAAACCCACTCTAGGTCTCAAGAGATGGGTACAAAATTGCCGATAGGGAATTGTTTTACCAGAACCTTGGCAAAAACTCTTTTGATAAACATATAAAACATTCTGATCACACATACACTGAAGTTGACTGAAGCTTTGTCTTTAGCAAAACATATGAACGTCAGAAGGAATTTGTGTGTAGTGAGAAAGAAATGCAAATTATATCAATGACTTGTAGTGTAGCCATGGACTTATACTGTTATTGTCATTTAACAATGAATCACATGACTAACCATGGATCTGAGTGCTCCTATGGTACCAGGTTCCTACTCGGGATCCACCCAACCTATAGATACGTTTTGCAGTCTAGCGTGACAGGTTAGAATATTAATTAATTTGTTTGTTTGTTAACCCCCGCCCAACTTTGTTCAATATTTTTTCATCAAACGTTGCAGGTTTGTCAGGTACATGCTGAACTGGTGCCTTTTGCTATTTAGAAATTTTAGAAATTTTTATTTTTTGCGTTTCCATGGCAACAAGATGGACTTAGGTTCTGTGAGGGTAGGGTTGTTTCCGGAGCATAACTCATGAACTGTTCAATTTTTTTTCATGAAACTTTGCAGGTTTGTCAGGTACATGCTGAACTGGCGCATTTTGCTTTTTAAAATTTAAAAAAAATATTACTTTTTACGTTTCCATGGCAACAAGATGGACTTAGGTTCCAAACTCTCTTTTTTTTTTTACAATTTCCATGACAAGTTCCACCTCGGTTAAAAAAGGTTAGGGTTTGTTTAGATTTAATTATGTCCTAAATTCTAGCCATGTTAGTGGCAAACTCTTGTTTTTGTTGTTTAATGCCACACTCAGCAATATTCCAGCTATATGACGGCGTTCTGTAAATAATCAAGGCAGGACCAGACAATCCGGTGATTGACATCGTTCCACCCGATCGGGATACGATGACATGTATCAAGTAAGTCAGCGAGCCTGACCACCCTATCCCGTTAGTTGCCTCTTACGACAAGCATGGGTTGCTGAAGACCAATTCTAACCCAGTTCTTCACAGGTTAAATTAATATGTAACCCTGTCATAATCATTTCTTGTTCATGACACTAATCATTTACTAAATGAACTTTCAGTTTGACATTGAGAAGTTCAGTGACCAGTTCACGGACATGAAGTGGATGGAGAGCCGGCTGGGAAAGAAGCATGTCAACGAGGCAGCTGCCAGAGCCGCCCAGGAGGAGGAGCGGAAAAAAGAGAGGAAAAAGGTGACAGTCTTGCGATTTGTGTCCATATACGATTTCTTGTCCTGATGTTTGTCCATCAAGAACATTAATTAATAAGACCAACATTATAGGATGTAATTCCCCGAATTATCCTCGTCTGTTGTCATGGATACGTGTATTGTTTTTTTATGTTGCAGTCTTTCAACGATACAAATCCATTTGCTGCACTGGAGGGTGTGTTAGATGAGTTTGATCCCAGTCTGTCAGATTCTGGTGAGTAGAAACCGGCACTGTGTGAGGTGAAAGGATGGTTAACATCACATTTCAAGATTATTGCACTTATATGCAGGGATGAGAATCTTCGGTTGATCCGCAAATTTCCGAGAAATTTTAGTGACCACAAAATGGTTAAAATCTGATGGCTTACCCCAGATTATGGACCACGCTCCATTGCTAAGATGTTTCAGCTGAAAACAAAAATATCCATTCTCGTCCCTGTATATGGCAACATGCATCCACATGTACATGCATGCATACAAGCATGCATACTTGAACTAGTCCGGACTAAGGCGTGTTGTGAATAAAACAGCCATTATAGATTATATGACGGCTTGCTTTTGGTTGATTCCACCGTGAAGACCTCAAGTTGCACTGGAGTGGCAATATATAAACTTGGGCTGTGTCATATTATTATTGGAAACTTCCCAGGACTCTGATTAGTTTGATAGATATTTCTTCTCTATGTATATGCCTTTTTTTTTTTCTTGAACTTTGTAATGTTTTTTAAAGGTGCTGACACATTCACAGAGCCAACAGAGGAGACAACTCTGTCTGATCTGTCTGATGACGATGTGGACACGTTCGATGCCGAGTTTAGACAGCACAAGCGGAACTATTACATGGACAAGCTGGACTACCAGACTGTCACGCCGTAAGTACAACAGTGAAGCAGGAGGCGGTGGGCTAGCCTAATGGTTAAATTGTTAGCTTGTCATGCCAAAGGCCCGGGATCGGAATACAGTGATCCCTCGCTACAACGCTACCTTCGGGGTCCAAATAATTGATGAACGTTATAGATGATCAGCGGTTTAACGAAGGTCGAGTCGTAGGTGGTAGATGACCAACGAAACAGTATACATGTACATGCTCTGCCTACCTATCATGATATACGTTGCACGTTTCTGAGTTTCCAAAAAGATTAGAATAGAAGTTATTTATGATTCATAGTGTAAAAAAAGATTTATTGAGTATTAACATGCGCTTTAAAAAAAAAAACACATCGTATCCCTTCAGGTGAATAAGCAGGTAGATCTATAACAAACTTGGTCAAGGCATTGTATTATATGCAGAGATTAAGATTACCGTGTGTATATTCTCGTAAACTAAGCCGGAAATAGCAATCAGCTGTGCACACATTTCCTCCCAATCTACCGGTGATTCAGTTAAAACGTACCCAGTGATAGCACTTTAAAGAATTTTGATGCAGTGGCCGGATGAAATTATTATTTTATCAGGAATAATATATTCCAATATCGTTTTATTTTAGTTTCAGCTTCCACCATATATACTTAAAATTATGAGAACCACAAGTGTAGCATTTTGGTACAGATTGTATGCAAGATATTTTATGGAACGATTTTGACCAGTCACCGTAGGGACTTCCCGCGCTACATGTAATTCGATTTCGAAAACGTTATGTTGACATTTAATAGTCAAACTGCCTCAAATATGGCTTTTAGCGAGTCATGGTACGGCATTTATGATTTGTGTATCCATTCTCTTGCAACTAAAGTTTGTTTCAAGGCGTCAGTAGCGGTAATCTGACAGTGGTTGCTGTTAATATCGGTGAGTTGTGCGATCTCCCAATCACTTCACAAACAATTTCGCCGAAATTATTGTAAATATTATTATAATTATTGAATGAAATTTTGAATATGATTAAATAAGTATATTGCAAACATTAGTCCAGATAAACAATGAACATTTTTTTTAATTAGATCTACCAGATATTATAATAATAGGATTAAATTGCGTACTTCAGTTCGGATTTGTTGACTGGTATTTCTGGTGTTACGTGATCGCGGTGATCAGCTGATAATGTGTCATTGGAAAACTTGAGTGTATTGAAAATGTTAGACAATTTTGGGAGCAATGCTTTACCGCGCGCTATAACCGAGTTAGCGCTATATTGAAGGGCACTATAACAAGGGAACACTGTATTGGTAAAAGTGGGATGAAAACCAACTCACTCACTCACTCACTCACTCACTCACTCACTCACTCACTCACTCAACCACTCAACCACTCAACCACTCAACCACTCACTCACTCACTCACTCACTCAACCACTCAACCACTCAACCACCCACCCACCCACCCACAAAACAAATAAATTAGAAACACTTTTGAACACTGGGGAATGCTAAATACCGTCTGTTGGAGTCAGAACTAGATTCAAATTCATACAAATGCTTCCATTAAACCAGCCCTGATTACTTCTGAGCTCAGTACTCCATATACACCAAATCGTCCACTCCGCTCAAGTGAAAACAGTCTTCTCTTAGTTCCTCTCTTCCATTGCCTCAAAACAGGCTCGAAACATTTGGCTATATATATAATGTTCTCTCACATTATTCCAGTTCTGTAGAACTCCCTCCCTTTAGTGCTTCAGCTCTGTCCCAGTCTTGAAAGCTTTAAAGGTAACTCTCCTTTCGTATTTTTTCTTATGCGATTTCAATTCACAAATTTTACGTTTTCATAATTCTTCCTTATTCTTCCTTGTCGCGCTTTAAGCAGCCATTCTTGTACATTATTATTATTATTATTATTATTATTATTATTATTATTATTACAGCGAAGTGCTACAAGACCAGGCTCGGGGGTATGTGACTGCCATACAATGGATCCTCCTCTACTACTTTGAGGGCGTGCCGTCTTGGAGCTGGTATGTAGACACAGAACCATTATGAGTGTTGTCTGAGATGATTATCTTTGTTAGATCTCATTTTGTATTCAATGAACATACGGCTACAGTGGGGTTGTTGACACACTTTTATATTATCAATGAATTAAATTATGACAGCCATTTTCCTGAGCCTCCAGTTCTCGATGAAGATTTCCTTATGTTTGATCGACCACCAAACACCAAGATCACTTTACCGGCATCCCGTATTTAAGATCTCTATACAGCCACACATTCTTCAATTGACATCAGTGCGTATGTTAACTGGTTTGTCGCAGGAATCAGTCACGTCATCTCCTCCTTGAGGACATCCTATGAAGGAATATCTGGAGCTACGCTACAGCCTACATGGACCGATCAAGTGGGTCTCATTCACAGCCTCTTGGACTACATGGTACGCATGCAAGAGGATTTATCGTCAACCCTGTCTACTCTGGATACAGGGCAAACAACTCCTCGTTCAAATCAGGTCCTGTGCCATTTCTGATCAAACTAAGAAAAAGATCATGACTCAGCCTATTGCTTCGTGCTGGATCTTCAATGACAAATTAGGAAGTGTTATTGATTAAGTTCGTCAACATGCGGCTGAACGATTTCAAGTGTTGACAATCCACCTAGCAGCCAAGGCTCCCGGCTCGTCTTTCCCTCCTAAACGCCCATGTGATGCTCCTCGGGATACGAGTTTCAGGGAACCACGGAAGAAATTTGTCCCTTCAAGGAAGGATTCTTTCCAACCTAACTGTCGACCAAATCGTTTCTGGTACCTCGTCCAAAATTCCAGATGGAGTTGGTCAGGAAATTATGTCCGATCAGCCTCGATCTCCAAGATGCTTATCTCCATGACCCCATCCGTACGTCATCATGGAAATACCTCCGTTTTGGAATCTCAGTAGCCCCTTGGCTCTTCACCAGGGTCACAGCTTCCATCATCAGCTTCGTCCATCTACGTCCATGAAGTTTTCATGGGTATCTGGACGATTTCTTTGCTGCGGACCAAGACAAGGGCCACCTCTATCAGAATAGTATCTTCCTGATTCAGCTCATAACGTACCTCAGTTTTCTGATCCACCTGACCAAGTCAGACATGGTACAAGACATCATATACATTGGGGTCCAATTCCAACTCCACAGCCGGCGCTTATGCCCACCTGAAGATTGCTTTGTCAAGACTCACTCAATGATATACATGATCCCATCTCGACCCTCTCGTCACATTTGTTAGTAGATGTCTTTACTGGGAAGATTGTTACTGGTGGACTCACAGGGATCACGTGATGATGGGCATCCCCCCAGTTTTTCAGTCCCCGAAACTTCACCTGTTCACGGACGTCTCCTACTCAGGATGGGGAGCCCACATGGATGATCTCACTCTCCAGGGACTTTGGACATATTAGAACAGAATCTCTACACCAACTGCAGGGAAATGAAGGCGATATATTATGCTGGCAGATACTAGAAAGTCCTACTCTCTCATTCCTCAGTCCGTGGCTTACATACAGAAATAAGGCGGAAACAACTTATATAGTTGACAGTAAAGAGGACTTCTGTTGAAAATTTGAAATTTCAGTTATAGTGGGTTGCAGCCAAAATACAGGATTTATGACAATGATGTAATAGAGGTAGTATTATTAGAATTATTAACAATGATAACTATTGTTTTGACTATTGTTATAGACTCCGGATTCTGACTTGTGGCTAAAGTTGCAGACTGTATCATGTGTTGTCAATAACTATGGTGTCATATAATAACTCCTGTGTGTGTATGAATACAGGTTCTACCCCCACCATTATGCGCCATACATCAGTGACGTGAAAGGCTTCAGTAACATGAGGATTGAGTTCCAGCTGGGCAAAGCCTTCCTGCCCTTCCAACAACTCATGGCTGTGCTGCCAGCAGCCAGCAAAGACCTTCTGCCAGAGGCTTTCAGGGTGAGTAGCAGTGGTGCCCCCCATGGGGATTCCGGAGTAAAATTGGTCCTCAGTCATATATGCTTGTGCGGATCGGTAGTCAGGAACTTTGACATGGCTGCATGAATATTATCAAGAATGAATTCTGGACAGCACTGGAACTTTGGTTAAATACCAGCCCTCAAATCAAAGGAAGTATCACCAAACGACATCTTTTGCTTACCGTATTTTCTTGAGTATAGTGCGCACTTTTTTTTCGAAAAAACACAGCTGTGTAGAAGGGGGTGCGCATTATACACGAATTATGATTTTGGATGTTTTTTTCCCCCATGGAAAGACATTACCGTAAACACGAAACACCGGAAATACCATGTCAACAAATCCATACTGAAGTACGCACAATAATTATGTAATTACACTGTCTGGCTATAAAAAGTGTTCTTTGTATATCTTGACTTATGTTTGTAACTTATTTCATTGATTTTATTCAAAATTCCTTATAATATTGTTTTTATTAATTTCGGCGAAATCGTCTGTGAAGCGATCGGAAGATCGCACAACTCACCGTTATTAACAGCAACCACGGTCAGAATACCGCTATTGACGCCTTGAAACAAACTTTAGTTGACAGAGAATGGATACATATATCATAAATGACATACTTTGACTCGTTAAAAGTCATATTTGTTTTTGTTTGACGATTCTATGTCAACATGAAATTCTCGCAATCACGTGATCACGTGCGCGTGAGCCTTGACGGTGACTGGTCACACATGTTCCATGTTAAAAATAATACCCCGGAATAGCGATCAGCTGCTTCGCTTAGGGTTATTATTATTTTAAATATGTTTAGTAAAGGTTGCATATAATTAAGAAAATAATGGAATATATTATTCCTGATAAATAAAATAGTTTCAGATACAATTGTTGCCGATCCTTGCATTAAAAATCTTATAAAGTTATATCATTGGGTGTGTCTTGACCGAATCACCGGTCGATTCCAAGAAAACGTGTGTACAGCTGATTGCTGTTTCCAGCTTAGTTTACGAGAAAATACGCAAGGTAATCTTAATCCCTAAATATAAAACAATGCCTAGCAGAACAATAAATGCTATTTAAACGGTAAATAAACATGTCTGGTGATTTTTGTATCTCAAATTTCGAATTTGTACTGACGAAGTTTCTCAGCACCCGTTCGTTTGCCGGACTTTGCTGAAAGGGTACGGTGGAAAAAATTTCTGCGCATAATATTCAAATTTCTTTTTTTCCAAAATATTGAACCCGCTAGAGGGGGGTGCGCATTATACATGGGTGCGCACTATACTCAAGAAAATACGGTAGTTACTTATCCAGAAGTAATGACCCATTAAATCTTGTAATTATTCTTTCCAAAAACATTATGTTCTCATGTAAAGACACAAATAGAGAATGTCACCCGAGTGTCTTTTGATAGCTAATATATCAACATGAGTTGATAAAAGTGGAACATTCCGAGGTTTGCCGAGGAATTTTTCCACTTTTATCAATGAGTGTTGATATATTTGATATCAAAAGACACTCGGGTGACATTTTATTTATCATCCAACATCATTCTTCCAACTTTTTCAGTTTGTAGACAGTAATTAGCAGTGCCTTTAGAATAAAAAGTACTGCTGACAGCTTCAGTAGCAGAGCCATTAGTGATGTCATTTGATTATGACGTCATGGTAACCAATGCAATTTCATTGCAGCGATATCAACAATGTAGAAATCGCTTGATCTAATCCAAGCGATATCTCCTGTGGGATCCAGTTTTGGATGATAAAGCATATTCCATCGTTCCAGATCTTCCAGAATGAATGGAAGCAGTATTACTTCATCTCCAAATGTACAGCACTTATGACTGGGAATTTAGACAGATGCTATAAATATTGGTCATCCTGCCGTACACTTTTTTTTTAACATCAAAGTCACTGATTCTCTGCTAGACGATATGAAATGCAACAAAGAAAAAAAGAAAAAATAAGAATGAATCCGCTCATTCAACGGCCTCTAATATTAACGTTATTTGACTAACATTGGCCTTGCGTGTTCACAGGGCCTGATGACCATGGATACATCCCCCATCATTGACTTCTACCCTGTCAACTTCAAGACAGACCTCAACGGCAAGCAGCAGGACTGGGAAGCTGTGGTTCTTATTCCCTTTATTGAAGAGGTGAGAGTCAGAGTCCCACACTATAGTGGTTTGTCTATTTTACAAAAGCCAAGTAGAGGTTGTGTTTTATCATTCTTAACAAGATTGTTGCACACAGAATATACCAATGGTTTATCTTTATTGGAAGACAAACTGGCCACTGTGATTGTTTTTTATGTTTAAAATTGATGATGAACAGGCAATTAATTTGTTTTTAGTTGGTTTACAAGATTTCGTCCTTACAATGTTGGTAGTTGAAAAAAAAATCCAAAATCATCTTGAATGTGGCAATTTTCAAGCCTGAACGAGCATGCAGCTTGTTGGTCTACATTGTTTCAAACTTTGCGGTAAACACTTCTCAATGTATTTCATATTTCACATTGAATCCTCTTTTCTTTGCAAACTAATTCATGTTAATTTATTTTCGCTTATATTCTGTTTTAGTACCATTAGTGTCAGTGGTATTATTAGTTTTCATTTTGGCAGATCTGTTTACCCTAAATTAGGTAATCGCCTCACAATATCAACCTTTTATGCATGTTATACTTGATTCAGTTTGTCCTCAAGAGTAAGAAGTCAGGCTAATTTATGTTTTGCTTTCCAACTTCAGGAGCGGTTGTTGGAAGCCATGCAGCCGAAGTATGACACAATGACAAAAGCAGAGACAGCGAGAAACAAACATGGTCCCAGTACAGTGTTCGTGTATGATGAGGAACGACAAGAGCCATACTTGTCTCGTCTGCCAGGCATCTTCCCTGACATTACTGTCAACCATGCTAGGTATGGAACCATTGTCAATACTTGTCGTGTATGATGAGGAACGACAAGAGCCATACTTGTGTTGTCTGCCAGGCTTCTTCCCTGACATTACTGTCAACCATGCTAGGTATGGAACCATTGTCAATACTTGTTGTGTATGATGAGGAACGACAAGAGCCATACTTGTCTCGTCTGCCAGGCTTCTTCCCTGACATTACTGTCAACCATGCTAGGTATGGAACCATTGTCAATACTTGTCGTGTATGATGAGGAACGACAAGAGCCATACTTGTCTCGTCTGCCAGGCATCTTCCCTGACATTACTGTCAACCATGCTAGGTATGGAACCATTGTCAATACTTGTTGTGTATGATGAGGAACGACAAGAGCCATACTTGTCTCGTCTCCCAGGCATATTCCCTGACATTACTGTCAACCATGCTAGGTATGGAACCATTGTCAATACTTGTTGTGTATGATGAGGAACGACAAGAGCCATACTTGTCTCATCTCCCAGGCATATTCCCTGACATTACTGTCAACCATGCTAGGTATGGAACCATTGTCAATACTTGTTGTGTATGATGAGGAACGACAAGAACCATACTTGTCTCGTCTCCCAGGCATATTTACCAAAGTAGTAAACGTCTGAAACATGCATCTTTTGGGGCTTTCATAGGCGACTATGCTTGTCGTAAGAGGCGACTAATGGGATCGGGTGGTCAGGCTCGCTGACTTGGTTGAAGCACGTCATCGATCCCAATTGCGTGGATCGATGCTCATGATATCAATCACTGGATTGTCTGGTCCAGACTCGATTATTTACAGACCGCCGTCATATAGCTGGAATACTGCTGAGTGCGGCGTAAAACAACAAACGAACCAACCAACCTTTGGGGCTTTCCTCTCGCATTCAGCTTTGATATTTTGGAAATATTGTTAAAAGTGGTGTTAAGCCCTACTCATTCACTTGTTGCTTTGGCCATTGTTGATGATTGAGTAGCCGAGACAACTCTAGCTTGTCTTACCGAAGAACCAGGTTCGATTTCCCACATGGGTTCTGTGTGAGAAGCCCATTTGTGGTTTCACCCTACTGTGATATCGCTGGAATATTTCTAAGAAGCAGCGAAAACATTGCTCATGTTTGATACAGATCGTTGTTCATGCCATCAGTATAGGGTTTGTTCAACCCATACCATGGAGAAATAATTTGTAACAAAATTCCAAGAATATCCTGATATCAATTTGCCTCTGTGAATAGTTCAATCCCTTTAGAAGGGTTAAGACTGGCATGGTTGTGTTGACAGACAGGAGGAGATTCCACTAGAATTATACCGAGTTGATGGTAACAAGTTGAAAAAGGGGTTGCTGCCTGAGGTGCGACTAGATGTGTACTTTCCAGGATTCCCGACACTCTTCCACATCAAACACTCGGTGAGTAAACTACTCTTTCCCGCATCAAACACTCGGTGAGTAAACTACTCTTTCCCGCATCAAACACTCGGTGAGTAAACTACTCTTTCCCGCATCAAACACTCGGTGAGTAAACTACTCTTTCCCGCATCAAACACTTGGTGAGTAAACTACTCTTTCCCGCATCAAACGCTCGGTGAGTAAACTACTCTTTCCCGCATCAAACACTCGGTGAGTAAACTACTCTTTCTGCATCAAACACTTAGTGAGTAAACTTCACTCTCCCGCATCAAATACTCGGTGAATAAACTACACTCTCCCGCATCAAATACTGTGAGTAAAGTACACTTTCACATCAAACACTCCGCTGCGGTCTCGTTTTGTGAATTGCAACCCATATCTTGCCTTTTCCTTACAAAAATGTCAATGGGTAATACAATGAAACCTTGTTAGTCTGTACCCCATTATTCTGGTAACCATGACGATTACTGTAGGGAACAGCCACATGTAGCTTACTGGAATCTACTACTCACCATTGATCCATTAAACCAGAAATGTATTTATCTTGATGTAATGCTCATAGTTTCATATAGTTTGATGCGTTGGTTGGTGTTTCTAGGCGGAACTGAAGAAGGAGGGAGTAAAGGTGTTTCAGATGAACAGTCGTGGAGAAAACATGATCCTCAGCATCACACACAGAGAGGCGGATCTTAACCTGGTGAGTGATGGCAGGAGTGGACAGTGTTGGCTGCCATGTGTGCAGTGAGTGAGTGAGTGAATGTTATCCATGAATGGAAGGAGTGTGTGAGTGTATTTCAACTATATGGAAACAGCCTGTAAATAATCAAGTCTTCCCCAGGCTGATCTTAACCTGGTGAGTGATGGCAGGAGTCCGCAGTGTTGGCTGCCATGTGTGCAGTGAGTGAGTGAGTGAGTGAATGTATTCCATGAATGGAAGGAGTGTGTGAGTGTATTTCAACTATATGGAAACAGCCTGTAAATAATCAAGTCTTCCCCAGGCTGATCTTAACCTGGTGAGTGATGGCAGGAGTCCGCAGTGTTAGCTGCCATGTGTGCAGTGAGTGAGTGAGTGAATGAGTGAATGTATTCCATGAATGGAAGGAGTGTGTGAGTGTATTTCAACTACATGTATATCGAAACAGCCTGTAAATAATCAAGTCTTCCCCAGGCTGATCTTAACCTGGTGAGTGATGGCAGGAGTCGATTGTGTTGGCTGCCATGTGTGCAGTGAGTGAGTGAGTGAGTGAGTGAATGTTATCCATGAATGGAAGGAGTGTGTGAGTGTATTTCAACTATATCGAAACAGCCTGTAAATAATCAAGTCTTCCCCAGGCTGATCTTAACCTGGTGAGTGATGGCAGGAGTCGACAGTGTTGGCCGCCATGCATGGCCATTGTGTTCATCCATTACACCCAATAGGTCAGATTGGTACCCAGTATCCCATGCTTGTCGGAAGAAGCTAAGAAAACTATGAATGGAATCAGGTGGTCAGACTGTGTGACTGAATGTGTTTCATCATGCTTTCATCTGATTGCTTGAATTGTTGGTCATGCTTTTTATCAGATTTGGGGGCACGGGTGGCCAGGTCGTCAAAGTTGGTCCCTTGGGTGCGCCCAAAACCTTTGATCCGCTCCCGGTTTGCCGATTATGTTTCTAGGTTTATCAGCACCATACCCATGCTCGTGTGTTTCACCAAAGTGATGGACGTCTGAGACCTGCATCACTTCGGGCTTTCCTCACACAGCAGATGACACACCATGATATAAATGGAATACTGTTAAAAGCGGCATTAACCCAATTCACTTACTTTTATCAGATTTATCTGGTCCACACTGGATTATTTACAGCCAGTGTGTCTGGTGTCCCCCACCGTGATATTGCTGGAATATTGCTAAAAGCGGCGTAAAAACTGTACTCACTCATTACAGCAAGTGTGCTAAACCCAGAATGCTGCTGACTGTGGCGTTAATCAACATTCATTTCCTCCCTCACCCTCAATAACAGTATCAGCTTGATAGTCAGTATTGCTTTGAAATAATTATGATCCCTGGTGTGTCTGCAGCCTACCCCTACCTTTGTTTTCCCCTTTAATTATCTGGGACCTGCATCATTTTGGTTTGATCTAAGTGAAAAACTGTCCAAAGCATTTGCTCTCTCACTCAGCCACCCACTCAAAAACATGGTGTAAGATGTAAAACAGGAAATAAATTGACTGATATTATTCATATTGATCCGCCTCCGTGGTCTAGTGGTAGAGCGTCCACCCAAAGAGTGGAAGGTCTGGGCTTTGATACCCGAACCTGTCATACCAAAAGACATTAAAAGATTGTACCCTGCCTGGCGCTCAGCATTAAGGGAATAAAACAAGGACTGGTTGGCTCAGATTCAGTATACTGTCTGAGTTGGGTATTCATGTTAATCTGCGGCATGGTATCTCAGTGGGCTAGCACTATAAAATCGGCGTCAGTCCGGACTAGCATAAGCAGCCACACACACACACTTGCATGCACATCGTTATATAAGTGCAATAATCTTGAACGCAACGTTAAACCCTGTTAAACCTCACCTATTATTCATATTGTTTTATACATGCCTGTCTTGATTAAACATTTAAGAAAAATGTCTTATTGTACTGACTTACTTTACCGCCTTGTTGATGCTTCGCGTCAAAGTTTGTCTTGTTGCTTTTGTAGCCAATTGAGGAGGCAGCACACAAATACCTGGGTAACAGTGTCTACGTGGGCTGGCCGCACCTGCATGAGGCCAAGGTCCTTGAGGTGTCTGATGGGGAGACCAGGTGAGTTTTAGATAAGCATGACGCCTGCTCCAGCTGAGATCGATAGGCCAAACAGCAGTAAATATGGAGATTAAGACATCAGTAAAACTCACTTTCACATTAAGTTAACTTTCTATTGTAATAATCCTTAACAGGCCTAAGTAAGTATGTTTCAGTATAATCATGATAACTGTGTATTAGGCCATCCCCCCTAAATTGACCCTTGAAATCACTGCCGAAATGATATGCCATGGAGCAACAAGAGACCAAATATCTATATAATTCTCACAAAACATCAATTGAAAGATATGGCTAAAGACTTTATAATAAAGCTTGTAATGACAGTTTTCCAATTTATTTACAAGCATTGTATATACAGGAAACTAATTGTCTTTTAAACTATTAAATGATAGATTATCAGTTTGTGTGCTGTGTGCTGGTGTGTCTGCAAAATACTTCCTAGAATAATGGTTTAAACTTTGTCAGACCTTTTCTATCCTTTTGCTTTTGATCTTTAAAACGCCCTTAACGATTTGTTATTTTACATCGAGGTTTATGTAATAGAGTTCTCTGTAAGAGCAAAATCTAATGCAAATGAAATTGGTGTATTATTTCAGTTACAAGTTGTTAGAGCGTAAGGGAGAGAAGGGAAAGAAGTCAACGTACGAGAAAATTTGTCGTGATCTCCAGAAAGATGAGTCAGCTGTTTGGAGATCGGAATCATCATCCATCAAGGAGAGGTGAGTTCACACCATGTTTGGGAATAAACAGGTCACACCTTCTATATCCTCTTGTAAGAGGAACTTTCATTGTCAGTAATTTATATTTAGTCAATTAATTTATTTATGTTATCCTTGTTGAAATCTCCCTATGTCTCTATTTCAGGTACCATGATCGCCTAGGTGTAAACATTGGGCGTACCAACATCTTGCTGCATGCCCTGCCCATGACAGGCCGCAGGTGAGTCATGTGGTCATTTTCATAATTTTAGAAAATATTGTTAGGACGTATCTCATTACCAAGTGAAAAATGTCTTGAAGACTCTTTGGACAACAATCAGTGAGTGTCCTAGATAAGGAACCGATTTGAAACTCTGGGCTTGACATAAAAACTCACGAAGTTACATCGTGTTTCTCATGCACTGACAGCATTCCCTCCCAGGTGATTAGAAATATATGTTATGGTATGTTATGAGTATGTTAGGCATCCTTGCTTCCATATATGATGACAGTAGATGATAAAAGTATGATTAACAGAGATATTGACATTGTTATTGTGATGTTCTTTTTGGAAAACCACCCAACATGTTGCCACCAGATTTTACAGTGAGATGACAGCCAAAATTTTCAGGATTTATGGCTATGATGTAACAGAGGTAGCATATTCACAAGAATTATTGAAATTGTTATTATGATGTTCTTTCCATGTTTACTCTTCTGTTGTTTTGCCAAGGTATGTGTGTGGGTCCCATGGGAAGATAACTCTGGAGAAACAGTTCTGTGTCCGTGCTGTCCCGTATGCTCTGCAGGCGACTGTCAAGGTATGTCATGTTCCCTGTGCAAGTCTTCAGAAGTCAAGTCAGTCCTGTTAAATCACTAAATCATTAAAACACATGTACTAAATCCTACATGCATCAGGCTGATGTACAGGGTTTATTTTGTGAATATGATGTTTATCTCACAGCAGAAATCACTTCGGATCTTGATATCCAAAATATGTTTGCATGAAAATTAGAAATATGCTACGGTAGCTTTCTTGACATTCAGAATTGCCACCATGGTGTAGTGGATAGAGTGTCTGCCCAGAGAGCAAAAGGTCTTCGGTTTGATACCAGGCCATGTTGTACCAAAAGATGTTAAGATGGTTCTTGTTGTTACCTTGCCTGGTGCTCGGCATTAAGGAGATATCATGTTGGGTTTCCATGTTAAACTGCAGCTTGGTATTTGAGTGGGCTAGCATTATAAAATTATTATTAAACCCTTTTTCACCTCACCTTAGCTCACCTAACGGCGACTATGCTTGTTGTCAGGCTTACTGACTTTGTTGATGCATGTCATCGATCCCAATTGCGTGGATCGATGTTCATGATGTCAATCACTGGATTGTCTGGTCCAGACTCGACTATTTACCGGACGCCGTCATATAGCTGGAAATATTGCTGCGTGCTGCGTTAAACAACAAACAAACATCAGAAAATCTAATATTCCAATTACTCATCATGAATAGAGACTTCTTGTGTACACATTTTGGGCCAGACATTTCTTGTCATAGAAAACATGGTATTTTCACAAGGATCTAGTTATTCCCTAACCTAACCAAGGATGATTGTTCACATGCCTGGCAACTGATTCATGTTGTTGGACTTGGTTGATCAGGGAGATGTGTTCCTGTAAATTCTTCAGGAGCCCCATGGTAATTCCAAGGTAAAATTGGTCCCAGGTAATCTATGCTTGTCATAAGGGGCGACTAAAATGATCACGCTCTGTCATTATACCTGATTGTATGGATCACATGCTTTTGGTTACTGGATTGCAAGACACAAATGGATTATTATATTTACAGGCCACAATGATGTGGCTGGAATAGTGCTTGCTACAATGTTAGACCCCACCCACTAACTCACTCCACACATGGCTGTCAACACAGTAGACTCCAGCCAGACAAGAACTCCAGGTTAAGATCATCCTCTCTACAACTGTTCATCTGAATAACCTTTACCAGTGTTTGAAATACCTGCCTGCCCGACCGTCCGAGACGGGTTGATTTCAACTCGGGCTGCCAGATTTTCAAATCCCCCTGCCCGACGGTCGGGTTATATTTCATATGTGAAAATATTCTAAATATTTCCTGATGATAAGCATTAATTCACATGTAAAGATGAATGATAAAATGTAACCCAAAAGAAACCCCGTTAGCTTATCCTGAGAAACATATGATTATAGTGGGCAGGCAGGTTTTGGTCAGGGCTGGCAAGTATTTCAGCTAGCCAGTCCTGTGGTCTGGCTGAAATTTTTGGGAGTTTCATACCCTGCCTTTACTCCATCCTTCTTCTCCCAAACACAATATATCAAACTATCAAACTATTTGCTTCAGGACATTGCCATCCACGATCCCGACTTCCAGCAGTTCCGCTCCCTGGAGGAGTTGTTTTCCACCGAGACGTCAGTGTTCATGATTGGTCAGCCACACTACGGCTGCCAGGGAGAGGTAGGAAGTCAAGTATTTATTAACTCCTTGTAAATTGCTCAATCCTTTCCTCAGGGACTAAGAACTACTCTTGTTTGGTCAGAACTGTTTCAGGAAGAATCAGCCATACTAAGGTTAATGAAGAGAATATATGGATGTCAACTTCCTCATGATGAGAAACACAACGTTTCGGAGTATATGCTTACTCCTTCCTCAGGTGAAAATGAAAGAGTAAGCATATACTCCGAAATGTTGTGTTCCTCATCATGAGGAGTTGACATCCATATATTCTCTTCCTTATGTGAATCACTTCTAAATGCCTTTCAAAGACCCGCATACTAAGGTTGTCATGTTGTTTCATAAACATGAATAATTAATAAAACCTTCTTCTAAAAGGGGGGCACGGGTGGCCCAGTCGTCTAAGGCGCCGCGATTCGCTGTGCAGAGTTGTTTCCCTTGGGCACGCCAGAAACCTATGATTGTGGGTTCGAATCCCGGTTCTCCCTGATTATGTTTCTAGGTTTGTCAGCACCATACCCGTGCTCGTGGGTTTCACCGAAGTGGTAAACGTCTGAGACCTGCATCACTTCGGGCTTTCCTCCCACATTAAGCTGACATGCCGCGATATAACTGGAATATTGTTAAAAGCGGCGTTAAACCCAACTCACTCACTCACTCACTCACTCACTCACTCACTCACTCACTCACTCACTCACTCACTCACTCACTCACTCACTCACTCACTCACTCACTCACTCACTCACTCACTCACTCACTCACTCACTCACTCACTCACTCACTCACTCACTCACTCACTCACTCACTCACTCACTCACTCACTCACTCACTCACTCACTCACTCACTCACTCACTCACTCACTCACTCACTCACTCACTCACTCACTCACTCACTCACTCACTCACTCACTCACTCACTCACTCACTCACTCACTCACTCACTCACTCACTCACTCACTCACTCACTCACTCACTCACTCACTCACTCACTCACTCACTCACTCACTCACTCACTCACTCACTCACTCACTCACTCACTCACTCACTCACTCACTCACTCACTCACTCACTCACTCACTCACTCACTCACTCACTCACTCACTCACTCACTCACTCACTCACTCTTCTAAAAGACTTGAGGGGCCAGAGTTGTGAAACTTGGTGGGTGAGATGGTCACCAAGTGTAGTACCAGGTTTGTCCTGGACACACTGACTGGAATATGACTGCCAGTGGCCATATTGGAAAATATGAAAATTCTTGGAAAGTCTGAGAAACTACTGAACCAATAAGGCTGAAACCTCAGGTGTTTGTTCCCACCTATAATGACATCTGAATTTGTTAAGGAGGTTTAAATCAGATTTGGCAAACCTATTTATGGCTACTGCTCAGCCCTCTCTGCTCAAAATGTTTAGTAATGCTCCACAAGATTCTCTCAAAGTGCAGTTTTCACTCTGTAAACGTCTTCTCTGAAATTGACAAGAGAAGCTGAACTTTGGCACTTAAAGTTCTCCTTAGGATGAGATCCGACTTTGTTCAAATCATTAGGATTTCACTGTGTTTTGTGTGAAAGAATTGGAACAAATTGTCTGTCTTTAGAAACATTATTCTCTTTAGAAGTTTATGAGACTCGATATTGAAACTTTGTGTGAAGTTTATTTAACAACGTTCTACAATAGTATATTCATTCTTGCAGATTTGAGTTTGTTACTTGTTTCATAATATACTGAACAACAAAAGTTCCTGTGACATTGAATAAGATTTAATGCAAAGTTATGTTTTTTACCAAATCTGAAACAATTTCGGTTTGCAACAGATAAATGACTCCTGTAAGTGTTCAAATGGTTTAATTTGCCATACTGACTTCAGAAAATGCGTGATTTCATTAAAAAAAACCATAAACATGCCAAAATGTCAATTTACAAATCAATAGCGTGTGTGTCCATCTCTGGTTGCGATGCAAGCAACACATCTTAGTCTCATGGAATGGACCAGGCGTACAAAGTCCTGTGGGATATCTGTCCATATCTGCTGGAGCATGTTTCGAAGTTCCTGGAGTGTCTGTGGAACACTTGGTTGACGTCGAAGGCGCCGATCCATCTCATCCCACATGTGCTCGATTGATGAGAGACATTCACGTTGTTTTGTTGAAGAGAATCATGAACAAGTCGAGCAATATGAGGCCGGGCGTTGTCATGTTGAAAAGTAATGCCTGGGCCATGACGACGCAAAAACGGTAGAACAACAGAGCTGATGATCTCGTCGCGGTAGCGCTGTCCATTGAGATTTCCCTCTACCACTATCAAACGGGTCCTCTGTCTTGCTGTAATTCCACCCTATACCATAACGCTGCCGCCCTCAAACCGATCTTCTTCCATGACACAATGATTGACGTAACGTTCACCTCGACGTCGGTACACTCGAATCCGTCCATCGCTGTAGCTGAGGTGAAAAAGAGACTCGTCGGTGAATAGAACTTGTCCCCACTGCATGGCTGTCCAGAGTAGACGCTGTCTGCACCACTGTAGACACGCTTGACGGTGGTTTTCTGTCAAAATGGCACGTCTGGCGGGTCTTCTGGCGACAATCCCTGTACATCTGAGGCGCCGACGTACAGTTTGTGAAGATATTCGTCGAAGGCCAGGGATGCTTCTTGCAGTCACTGTTGCTGGCTGGAATCGATTCGTAGGTGTGTTGTTCAAATCCAGTTGTCTTGTCGATTATTGGTTACGTGTGGCCTGCCATTCCGAGGATGGTCTCTGACTGCATTTGTCTGTTGCCGACGTTGCCATAAACACCAGATAGTGTTTCTGTGGACGTTAAATTGTCTTGCAAGATCACAAGCATACCAATGATGACAGGCGTGGCATTTTGTAATGTTGAATAATTGTGTTATTTTGTTGTTTTTCTGAGTGGTTGTTGTCAGCACGATGCTAAACAATGGAATCCCGTTAATGCACATGTTTTTATACCCATTCTTGGGTAGTGAAATGCATTGGGCTTGCATAAAAGTCAACTTTTACATGAAATGCATGCTTTTCTGTAGCAGTTGAGTTTTTGTGACTTGATTCCATACATGTACTAACATATTGAAAACCAAACTTTACTTGTTTGAAAAATACACTAAAATATTGGTGTCACAGGAACTTTGGTTGTTGAGTATACTTAATACTTTTGTCCTGAGTTTATGCAAAAAACATCTGAACAGCAATTCTGACAGCTACTGATTTTGAGTGTCTGTTTTTGTTGACATTTTACTACATATTCTGATGAGCTACAGTGCCATGGCTATTTTTGATAATCATACACAAACACAGTTTGTGAAAAAGAAAGTACAAATTGAAAGTTTAACATTGTATGTTTTCAATGTTACGCTGTGTTACCTGTAGATTTGCCTCACAGGTGATGCAACTGTCAGATCAGTGGCATGTATTCTGGGTTGGAAACTTCTGACTGACAAATTATAATGAAGTATTTTCCAAACTCATGGTAAATAATGATTGACACATTACATGTTCTGTGTTCAGGTGGTAGACGTGGAAGATGGTAGAGTTAGGGTTAACTTCACTGTTCCGGTTGAGCCAGACATGACGAATGTCATGAGGATGCAGGAGGTCAGTACAATAATTGTCATGCTGAATTCAACACACATCATCCACATACAGATTATGACGACAGTCGAACCAGTTTCCATTTCCACCCAAAATCAGGACCATGGTGTACATGCTGGGACTGTTATTGTAATATTAAAAACTGTGAAAAATCATGGGCATCACACCATTTTGACTAACACATGAACATTGCACCAGATTGTCACACCATGGTGCTTGACAAAAACAACAAAATGCTTCAAAGGGGCATAACTCCCCATTAATGATACACATACCACTAAAAAGAAGCTGCATGCCTGCAGTAACATAGAGACTGTCATATACAGACATGGGCATGTGTTAGGGCAACTATTGTAAGGCACTTCTTTCTCTGGAGCTCACGCTCTTAACTTTTTAGGGGCATTCTGGGGTTGAATTGGTCCAATGTGACTTTTCCCTGTCGTATTAGTGATCAGTTTAGGCCTGGGACGGTTAACTTGGGCACTCGGGTGGGATTGGTCCTGAGGAGGACCTGGGTACCCACAGGACTACCTGGACCTGTGGTTAGTCACGTAATATATTGTTTAATGACAAAAACTGGCTATAGCTCAGCAGTTACTCTACAAGCTGCTAATGTTCGCATTTCTTTCTGACGATCCACACATTCCTTTTGACTTGTATATGTTTGAGTGAAGATCTTCAGTCAACCTCAGTGTACGCATGATCTGATTGTTTGATACATGTATCTAAATAGTTTTAGCTGCGGTAAAACAATTACCAATCAGACATTTTGTTCCCAACTCATGAGACTTGCACTGGGTACCCGGGTAGGTTTGGGTAATAGGGGGTTGGGTATCCAGGTAGTAAATTTGGATTCATCCCAGCCCTAGATCAGTTGGTTCAGTGACTTGACTCATTCCGTGTCATCATGCCTCTTTGGTGTGATCGTCACGATATGGCTGAAATACTGCCGATGTGACGTTAAATATTAACTCACTCACTCACTCTTTGGTGTGGATGCTTCCAGTCACTGACTGCCCAGTTCCATATGATTTATTTACATCCGCTGTGATATGTTTGTTGTTAAATGCTGCACTCAGCAATATTCCAGCTATATTGAGGCAGTTTGTAAATAATCCAGTCTGGACCAGACAATCCAGTGATAAATATCATGAGCATCGATCCACGCAACTGGGATATGATGACATGCATCAACCAAGTCAGCAAGCCGGACCACCCAATCCCATTAGTCGTCTTTCACAACAAGCATTGTCGCCTTTTAAGGCAGGCATGGGTTGCTGAAGATCTATTCTACCCTGGATCTTCACGGGACCACGGGGAAATGGAGCGTATTTTCCTGATTGTGGTGTTAAACAACATTCACTCACTCACACACACTCTCTCTCTTTCAACTGAATGATTTTTACTACCATTCTTTTTCAACCTGTTTTGGTGGAATGAGACCCTGGAGCCGGTTTCACTCCCTTCTGACTTTGATAACATCACAATACAGTGACATTGCTTCATTATTTCCAGTCTTTGGAGACTAACTACATGCCTGGTTACATGATCGCTCAGCGGCTCGGCATAACGGGGCTGTTCTTGTCACGCCTCACTGGCTCCATCCTCGTCATCCAAGGCAGCAGGGACAACCCCAAGGCCAACCGGATCAATGTGGGGTTGAACCTGAAACACACGAAGAGGAACCAAGAACTGCCTGGCTATACCAGGAAAGTGGATGATCGGTGGACCTACTCTCAAGCTACCTTAGAGCTGGTTCGAGACTACATTGACAAGTTAGTATAAGAAAAGTTCAGTACTAAACATGTTGTATAACTCATCTGTACAGTAGTGGTGTAAAAATACTGTGAAACAGTATTGCATCATATACTATAACGGTATCCTATACAGTATTGCATCGTATACTGTGTGGCGATACAGTATTGCATCGTATACTATAACAGTATCGTATACAGTATTGCATCGTATACTGTGTGGCGATACAGTATTGCATCGTATGCTATAACGGTATCGTATACAGTATTGCATCGTATACTGTGTGGCGATACGGTATTACATCGTATGCTATATCGGTATCGTATACAGTATTGCATCGTATACTGTGTGGCGATACAGTATTTCATCGTATGCTATAACGGTATCGTATACAGTATTGCATCGTATACTGTCTGGCAATACAGTATTGCATCGTATGCTATAACGGTATCGTATACAGTATTGCATCTATACTGTGTGGCGATACAGTATTGCATCGTATGCTATAACGGTATCGTATACAGTATTGCATCGTATACTGTGTGGCGATACAGTATTTCATCGTATGCTATAACGGTATCGTATACAGTATTGCATCGTATACTGTGTGGCGATACAGTATTGCATCGTATGCTATAACGGTATTGTATACAGTATTGCATCGTACACTGTACACTGTGTGAAGTCCAGACTTGATTATTAACAGTCTGCCGACATAAAGCTGGAATATTGCTGAGTGCGGCATTAAACAACATATATAACAAACAAACAAACAAACAAACAAACATGCACAGTGCCCTCTAGCCTGCATATTTCCGTCCTACAATATTCAATCTTCGATCTCTGAAATTTAAGAACAAATGATTCAGGGTTGTGATTCAGCTGCAAAAAGAAAGAATATCAACTTATGGAAATAAAGTACTTCATAAGATCCATGTGTTTAAGGGGTGCACGAGGTGGGCTCTGGTTTGGGCACCCCACTGGGATTCTAGGTTCGGTTTTCAGTAACCAATGCTTGTTCATGGTGACTAAGATGGATCAGCTGTTTAGGCTGAGTGACTTGGTGACTCCAGCAGTGTGGGATGTTGCTTGTAACTATTTACATCCTCAGGTGATATCACTGGCATTTGCAGACAGTTGCAAAAAAAAAACAACACTATTCAGCATTTTCTTTTGTGAGAAATCAAATCAAAGGATGCCTGATCTAAAACAAACATATACTCTTTATTTTCTCATAATGACCTCAACAAGAGTAGTCAATTGTTTTGTATTCCGAATTTCATTTATAAAGTGCTTCACTTTTAAAAACAATGTTGGCATGCCATGTACTGCTTCTCACAGACACTATTTTGTTTTCTAGCAGATGAAGTCAATATTGTCAATAATGTGATGGGTTAAGAGTAATCACGTGACAAGTCAATATTCGAGGTCATTGTCAGTCACATCAGTTTGACCAAACTTTTGGTCAGTTTTCTGTTTTTAGGTCAGCAATTGTCTTGTCATGTAATACAGATTATCCAATGAAATTCCAAGAATCAAGGTATAACCAAATGATATGTTGTCAGATTCCACGATGTGATGCAAGTGTTGTCAGCGGGTGGAGGAGGCGGGGATCTGATGTCAGAGGAAGAGATATTTCCTCCTGACAGGTAGGTACTCAAGCTCCTTCCCTCCCGGTATCACCTACCACCAGTGTGCAAGCGCCATTGCAGGAATCTTAAAAGTTTACCCTCAAGCCCCAAATGTTTGTTTACTGTTTCCTAGATGAATTTGATTTTTTTTTTGATCAGCTTTGTTCGAGAATGCAGACTTACAGAAAAGCTTTCAACTGCCCCCTTACATTCTCACTATACTACTAACATGATAGTTGAAAGGAAATAGCACCCGTGAAGACCAGGATAGAGAATAGGTCTTCAGCGACTATGCTTGCCGTAAGAGGCGACTATGCTTGTCGTAAGAGGCGACTAACGGGATCGGGTTGTCAGGCTGGCTGACTTGGTTGATGCATGTCATCATATCAAAATTGCGTTGATCGATGCTCATGATTTCCATCACTGGATTGTCTGGTCCAGACTCGATTATTAACAGACCGCAGCCATATAGCTGAAATGTTGCTGAGTGCTGCGTTGAACAACAAACAAGCAAGCAACAAGAAATGAAATAGAAATTCAAATTGAAAAACAAACAAAATAAATTAGCTTCAGAATAGTATTCATTTGTTTGCAAATATAATAGTCAGGCGGTTGCGAATTCAACTCCATGCATGGTTGTAGGCTGCCTAGCACAGTGGGGAGCTGTGACTGGTGGCAGCTATAGCAAAGAGAGCTCTGCCAACGGTCTATCGCTGTGAGGAGTTTGATAGCTAGTTAATGATGGTGTCCATATTTCGTGATATTCGCATACGTCAGAAAAGTTAGAGATTATGAAATATCTTTGAGGATGTTTTTTTTGTAGTGAAGTCTGAATTTCTTGAAATGTGTATGGTACATAAAAATAATTCATGATCTCTAACTTTTTTGTTCAGTATAGTTTTTTCATCACTCGGTTCATTTCTCGCTTAGCTTTTTCTTCACCTCAACACAACATGTTTGCCCAACATTGACATCAACACTGCCACTGTGACAGATCCGAGATGACGGGGCTTTCTTTGTGTTATTTCAAAGCCGCATAAGCAAGCTGACAAGTATAGAGTGTGAGGTCATTCCCTCCACGAGGAGGACCACATTGATGAGAAGGTCGGGCAGGTCGGCTACATCTACTCACACCATTTTGTCTGTGAGTAGGAAGAGACAGCACAGCTGGATGCCATTCCATCAAACCCTTAACAACTGGTATGTTTTTTGTTACAACCCTGTGGGAATACCGTTGAGGGAATAGGTCCCCAGTACTATTGCTTGTTGAAAGAAATGATTGAAGTGACATAAGGATCAGGGCCCCGTTCCACAAGGCAATAGCACAACGACAGTCGTAAGTCAATGTTAAGGGAGTTACGATAACCTTACTGCTACAATAGCTGTGTGGAATGGATCGTAGGGCTATGACGATCGTTACTCCCATAGTTAAACATAGACTCATGACAGTCGTAACGCTACGATCGCTTTGAGGAACAGGGCCCAGGGCCCCTTTTCACAAAGGGATCATAGTGCTAAGTGTGGGACAGTGCTACGACTGTCAGAGGGCTATGTTAAAGTATGGGAGTTACGATCATCAAAGTGCTACGACTGTTGTAAGTCTTTGTTAAAGTATGGGAGTTATGATAGTCATAGTGCTACGACTGTTGTAAGTGGATGTTGAAGTATGGGAGTTTTGATAGTCATAGTGCTACGACTGTTGTAAGTGTATGTTGAAGTATAGGAGTTACGATAGTCATAGTGCTATGACTGTTGTAAGTGTATGTTGAAGTATGGGAGTTATGATAGTCATAGTGCTACGACTGTTGTAAGTGGATGTTGAAGTATGGGAGTTATGATAGTCATAGTGCTACGACTGTTGTAAGTCTATGTTAAAGTATCAACATTATGAAGGTCGTAGCACTATAAATACTAAGTGAAACGGGATCCAGATAGTTACTATCAGTGGCCCAGGTGATTGGATTGTTGCTCATCGTATCAACCACTGGTTTGTCTGTCCCATTCTGCGGTGATTCACTCACTCACAGATTTCTTTCTGCATGGGTTGACTTGCTGAATGAATAGAAGTGATTGACTCACAGCCTTGATTCTCCAAGAGCTAAGTTGTCATTCATAACTGTAAACTGTAAACTATCACTATTCCCTGACATGGGATATTTTTCAGTTTATCAGTCACTGGTTTATCTGGTCCGGACTCGATTATTTATTGTCCTCTGTGATGTAGCTGAAATATTGCTGAGTGAAACAAACAAATAAACGAAGAAACATTTGATGTTAAGGAACTGTTGATCATATTATTCCCATATGAAAATCGTGACGAGTCACCGAATTTATGTTTTGTAGTAGTAGAAAATGGGTAGGACAGCTTTTCACACTGGGGGTATATTGGCCACTTTCGAAGTAAGTACTGTAGAACCAAATGTGTTGTATTTTTGTATACTTGTATCATGTCTTATTCATGACTTTTATTCAAATTTATTTTTAGTCGCCAGTATCACCAAAGGAAGGAGAATCAATGCACCGGCTTTGTCCGATCACGGTGGCTAGGACTGAAGAAAGTACCAGCTCATGTGAACATCAGAAACAAGAGGAGTTGTCTCCTCCTGTCTGTGTCATGTCTTGCTACTGCAGCACTTCATTATAGGAATAGGTAGCTAGGTCATCGACCTGTGTCAGGTAGGTCATTGAGACAGTGTCATGTAGGCCCATGTCAGATAGGTCATTGAGACAGTGTCATGAAGGCCCATGTCAGATAGGTCATTGAGACAGTGTCATGTAGGCCCATGTCAGATAGGTCATTGAGACAGTGTCATGTAGGCCCATGTCAGATAGGTCATTGAGACAGTGTCATGTAGGCCCATGTCAGATAGGTCATTGAGACAGTGTCATGAAGGCCCATGTCAGATAGGTCATTGAGACAGTGTCCTGAAGGCCCATGTCAGATAGGTCATTGAGACAGTGTCCTGAAGGCCCATGTCAGATAGGTCATTGAGACAGTGTCATGAAGGCCCATGTCAGATAGGTCATTGAGACAGTGTCATGAAGGCCCATGTCAGATAGGTCATTGAGACAGTGCCATGTAGGCCCATGTCAGATAGGTCATTGAGACAGTGTCATGAAGGCCCATGTCAGATAGGTCATTGAGACAGTGTCATGTAGGCCCATGTCAGATAGGTCGTTGAGACAGTGTCATGTAGGCCCATGTCAGATAGGTCATTGAGACAGTGTCATGTAGGCCCATGTCAGATAGGTCATTGAGACAGTGTCATGTAGGCCCATGTCAGATAGGTCATTGAGACAGTGTCCTGAAGGCCCATGTCAGATAGGTCATTGAGACAGTGCCATGTAGGCCCATGTCAGATAGGTCATTGAGACAGTGTCATGTAGGCCCATGTCAGATAGGTCATTGAGACAGTGTCATGTAGGCCCATGTCAGATAGGTCATTGAGACAGTGTCCTGAAGGCCCATGTCAGATAGGTCATTGAGACAGTGCCATGTAGGCCAATGTCAGATAGGTCATTGAGACAGTGTCATGTAGGCCCATGTCAGATAGGTCATTGAGACAGTGTCCTGAAGGCCCATGTCAGATAGGTCATTGAGACAGTGTCATGTAGGCCCATGTCAGATAGGTCATTGAGACAGTGTCATGTAGGCCCATGTCAGATAGGTCATGGCCACACATTCTGGGTTCAGTGTGTGTCCAGAGAAAAACTAATAATATAAATCTGTTTATGATGAGCTAGATTCCATTCACAAAGTGACTCATGGTGCAACATTTTATTGTCCCCATCTTTTGATCAGTGTGAACTCCAATTTCATTCTCGGGCTCCCTGGGGAGTATACAACCCAAGGTGTTGTATGAGGCCCTAGAAGGTTTAGTCATATTACCATTTCATCCTACCAGGTACCCATTAACTGCCATTCTTGCCATGGTGATAGATGGTATGTTAATTTGTGGACATGTAAGTTTTAACATACAACATCCTAGCTCTATTAGGTGCCTGATGATGTCAGTACTAGTTACGACCTGTGAAGATCCGGGGTAGAATAGGTCTTCAGCAACCCATGCTTGCCGTAAAAGGTGACTATGCTTGTCGTAAGAGGCAACTAACGGAATCGGAGGGTCAGGCTTGCTGACTTGATTGATGTATGTCATCATTCACGATTGTGTAGTTGGAAGCTCATGATGTCAATCACTGGAATATCTGGTCCAGACTCGATTATTTACAGACCGCCATCATAAGCTGGAATATTGCTGAGTGTGGCGTTAAACAACAAACAAACGAAAGTCCTAGTTACAAAATAACCAGAAATGGTACGGAGGACCACCTCAATATCGACACATGAAGGTATTTGGAATCAGAAACCAATCTCCAGCATGTATGAAAAAGGTGCTCATGTGCTTGATATGAGTGCAAGTGTCAGCATTGATGTATCTTACTGCCGTTACTTGGAATGAAAATCAAAGATGTACTAGAAAGCCTGCAGCAATCTGTTCACTTTCTACATTGTAGATATATTTTAATATATTGTGACCACAAACTACTGCTGTGATACGGGTGTGTATGTGTACAAAACATTGTGTCTGTGTGAGTGTACTCCTGTCTGTGATTGTCTGTGGAAATTTATTTTTGTGATCAAAGAATTATTTCCTCAATATGTGCGTTGGAGCTATGGGCCTCTTCAATGCGTAGCGGGTGTGCCAAATCTTACGAACAATCCCAAATTGTTTACTGTGAGGCTAGTCAATGGATGTAGGCCATGAATAAGTTTGCAGAACACAACACTCTATGAACAGATTAAAATTGTGTGCAACCTTTGAATGTAATTGATCTTAAGAAAACCACTAAAGTGTTTTGCATAAATTTATCTATGGCCGATGAGCATGATAAGCAAGGTAAGGCTGGCTAAAAAGATCGATAATCGGAATTATCGTCATTGGTAAGAAAAACGAATGATTATCGGTATTGTTGATATCGATAATAACTCGCATAAACTATTGTGATGAAATAAGTTTAGATTTACCCGAACAGTAAAGTTGCTTCTCCAATATTTATTGATAATTGATCGATATTTAGTTGCCGATTATCGATTTCTATGATCTGCATCGTTCGCCAGCCCTAATACATTTGTCTAAAATTTCATTGACCACATGAAAAACCACCCACCTTAAAATGATTTTGCATGTTGCTTGAGTAAAATGAAGCTTGACCAAATGTTTCTATGGCTGTCACAACAGGGCCCGTGAAGATTCGGGGTAGAATAGGTCTTCAGCAACCCATGTTTGCCGTAAAAGGTGACTATGCTTGTCGTAAGAGGCGACGAACAGGATCGGGTGGTCAGGCTCGCTGACTTGGTTGATGCATGTCATTGATCCCAAATTGTGTTGATAGATGCTCATGATGTCAATCACTGGATTGTCTGGTCCAGACTCAAATATTTACAGACTGCCGTCATATAGCTGGAATATTGCTGAGTGCAAACAAACAAACAAACAAACAAACAAATCTAAAGACAGGATGTTTGTTGTCGTGATAATGTGAGACAACATCTCAGGAACATGTGGGTCTTGTGCATTGATGTAATTCTATTGCATGATGATGACAGAAAATAAAATATGTGACAATCCTTTTTGTTTAGTTTTATTGTTTCTTCCATCCCCAAGTACAAGGGCGGCTCCTTTCAAAAAGAAGGGTCCAAAATATCAAAATCTTCTCTCAGTGGTGGTGGTGGTGGGTTTGTTGTCTACAACATACTACACTTGGTTTTCAAGGGGGGTGGGGCTAGACCCCCTGGACCCCCTCTGGATCTGCCTATGAACTATACTACTCAACTTTTGATAGGGATAATCAGATATCATTCTATGTAAAAATACACTTGACATTTGAGAATCAGTTTTGTGTATGACGTAAAGATAAAAATATGCCTATAAAAAGTTGAGTAGGATAGTTGTGGCATCATAATGATTTTATCTTAATCAGACACTGAACCCTTTGGGATTCTAAGGAAATATAGGTTCCTGTATCCAGTGCTGTTTAGTAAGAGCTGGCTACAGGGCTGGATGGTCAGTCTCTGAGACTTGGTTCATTGCGTGTCCTTGTACTCCAATACTTTCTGTCACTGGTTTCTTCTGGTCCACAGTGGATTGTTAACCAGTTGCCATGATACAGCTGGAATAGTGCAGCTTACTGACATTTTCACTCGCTCATTCACCTGTTTTAAAGCATTCCCTCGTCATGCCGAAGACCTAGGTTTGATTCCCCACATGGGTACAATGTGTGTAGCCTTTCTGTGGTGTCCCCTGCTGTGATATTGCTGGAATATTGCTAAAAGCAGTGTAAAACCATAATCACTCACCATAGTTAATCTTTAAAAATGGGCCTATTTAGAAAATCTGCCCAGAAACAATTGAGTTCCATAAACAAGATATATTCAAACCGTAAAATCAGAATGACCAAGATTCTAACTTGCCCTATTTTAAAATGTACATGCCCAAAATTAAGCTAATAAATTCAGTAAAATGTTAGATCTACAGAACTGAGAATCAGAGATAAACACAATGTTTCTTTGCTCAATATAGCACCAACTCAGTTATAGCGCGCGGTTCAGGTGAACGAACAGGTATAACAAACTTGGTTGATATAAATATGAAATTTGACATAAATCATCACTAGACATGATGATTTACCATTTTAATTGCATTTCCTTCTCTCCAAGGCCAAAGTACCCAATGATACAACTTCAAAGAATTGTCGGAAGAAATTGTATCTATTATAATAATTTCAGATACAAGCTAGAAAACGCATATTTCTCGCCCGACATCTAAATCTTACTTGGCACGGACGTTGGGCAATGGTATCTTTTAACCCCTAAAAAATGAGTATGTCTTATATAAATTGTGAGATATCTGTATGTTTACCTTTCCTTCCAGTGAATACAAGCTGAAGCACATGGTAGACTTTGTGAGGAACCTGCCATGTAACAATGTCAAGCCACTGTCCACAGGGGCTGACATCCTGGAGGAGGGCGTGGTCAAGGCAATTGAAGAGGAGGTGGACACGGTTAATGTGAGTATTGTGTGCGTGCATTCCGGCCATGTTGACCTTAGTAAGATTGGCATAGGGTTAGGAAAGCTCAGACACCGTGTAAGAAAGGTGTCTGTTATTCTTTTGTAACAGGTGACTACTATGGGAATGGGAGATGTGTGTTCTGTTGCTGACATACAATTCTTTTCTCTGAAAGTTGGAGCAGAACAACTTTTTTGTTCACAACATATTTTTTCATGATATTCAGAATGTACAACAGCACACTGGCAGAATTATTTTCTGCAAGCATTTACTTGCACAAATTGTAGGCTGATATACAGAATACCGGATACCTTCTGCCATATTGGTAAGGAATGGGCACAAGCTCCTTCCTTAGTTTTGTTAGTAACGGGGACAGACTTGCCACCCATATAAAGACTTGAAACAAATGCTGTCGAAAGTAAATGTCATATTCCGAAGTTAATGAAAACTAGTTTGTGTTTGTTGAAATGTGACCCTGATGGATGTCACTGACGAAGCTGCCATACACCATTTAGGAACTGCTTAATTCCTTCCAAGACCTCTATTTCATCATAGCGATAATTTCCATTTTGACTAAACTCACACTAAAAAAATATTAAGATATTTCAGCAGATGTCCTCGTCTCTATTAGTTATATAATGAGCAGTTGCATGGGAGAAAATCTTTTGACCCAAGTTCACACAGAAAAGAAGTGACACAGAACGCATGCCCTCTGTTGTCACGGTTGTAGGTGATTGTTAAAGTGATACAGACACAGTCCCTATGTTGTCACGGTTGTAGGTGGTTGTTAAAGTGATTCAGACACATTCCCTCTGTTGTCATGGTTGTAGATAATTGTTAAAGTGATACAGACACATGCCCTCTGTGGTCATGGTTGTAGATGATTGTTAAAGTGATACAGACACAGTCCCTATGTTGTCACGGTTGTAGATGATTGTTAAAGTGATTCAGACACATTCCCTCTGTTGTCATGGTTGTAGATGATTGTTAAAGTGATACAGACACATGCCCTCTGTTGTCATGGTTGTAGAGGTTTGTTAAAGTGATAAAGACACATTCCCTCTGTTGTCATGGTTGTAGATGATTGTTAAAGTGATACAGACACATGCCCTCTGTTGTCATGGTTGTAGATGATTGTTAAAGTGATACAGACACATTCCCTCTGTTGTCATGGTTGTAGATGATTGTTAAAGTGATACAGACACATGCCCTCTGTGGTCATGGTTGTAGATGATTGTTAAAGTGATACAGACACATTCCCTCTGTTGTCATGGTTGTAGATGATTGATACAGACACGTGCCCTCTGTTGTCATGGTTATAGATGATTGTTAAAGTGATACAGACACGTGCCCTCTGTTGTCATGGTTATAGATGATTGTTAAAGTGATACAGACACATTCCCTCTGTTGTCACGGTTGTAGATGATTGTTAAAGTGATACAGACACATGCCCTCTGTTAACATGGTTGTAGATGATTGTTAAAGAGATACAGACACATTCCCTCTGTTGTTACGGTTGTAGGTGGTTGCTAAAGTGATACAAACACATGCCCTCTGTTGTCATGGTTGTAGGTGATTGTTAAAGTGATACAGACACGTTCCCTCTGTTGTCATGGTTGTAGATGATTGTTAAAGTGATACAGACACATGCCCTCTGTTGTCATGGTTGTAGATGATTGTTAAAGTGATACAGACACATGCCCTCTGTTGTCATGGGTGTAGATTACTGTTCAAGTGATACAGACATGTGCCCTCTGTTGTCATAGTTGTAGATGATTGTTAAAGTGATACAGACACATTCCCTCTGTTGTCATGGTTGTAGATGATTGATACAGACACATGCCCTCTGTTGTCATGGTTGTAGGTGATTGTTAAAGTGATACAGACACATGCCCTCTGTTGTCATGGTTGTAGATGATTGTTAAAGTGATACAGACACATTCCCTCTGTTGTCATGGTTATAGATGATTGTTAAAGTGATACAGACACATTCCCTCTGTTGTCATGGTTATAGATGATTGTTAAAGTGATACAGACACGTGCCCTCTGTTGTCATGGTTGTAGGTGATTGTTAAAGTGATACAGACACATGCCCTCTGTTGTCATGGTTGTAGGTGATTGTTAAAGTGATACAGACACATTCCCTCTGTTGTCACGGTTGTAGAGGTTTGTTAAAGTGATACAGACACATGCCCTCTGTTGTCATGGTTGTAGATGATTGTTAAAGTGATACAGACACATTCCCTCTGTTGTCATGGTTATAGATGATTGTTAAAGTGATACAGACACGTGCCCTCTGTTGTCATGGTTGTAGGTGATTGTTAAAGTGATACAGACACATGCCCTCTGTTGTCATGGTTGTAGGTGATTGTTAAAGTGATACAGACACATTCCCTCTGTTGTCACGGTTGTAGAGGTTTGTTAAAGTGATACAGACACATGCCCTCTGTTGTCATGGTTGTAGATGATTGTTAAAGTGATACAGACACATTCCCTCTGTTGTCAGGGTTGTAGATGATTGTTAAAGTGATACAGACACATTCCCTCTGTTGTCAGGGTTGTAGATGATTGTTAAAGTGATTCAGACAAATGCCCTCTGTTGTCACGGTTGGAGATGATTGCTGAAGTGATACAGACACATTCCCTCTGTGGTCATGGTTGTAGATGATTGATACAGACACATTCCCTCTGTTGTCATGGTTGTAGATGATTGATACAGACACATGCCCTCTGTTGTCATGGTTGTAGATGATTGTTAAAGTGATTCAGACACATGCCCTCTGTTGTCATGGTTGTAGGTGGTTGTTAAAGTGATACAGACACATGCCCTCTGTTGTCATGGTTGTAGATGATTGATACAGACACATGCCCTCTGTTGTCATGGTTGTAGATGATTGATACAGACACATGCCCTCTGTTGTCATGGTTGTAGATGATTGATACAGACACATTCCCTCTGTTGTCATGGTTGTAGATGATTGATACAGACACATGCCCTCTGTTGTCATGGTTGTAGATGATTGTTAAAGTGATTCAGACACATGCCCTCTGTTGTCATGGTTGTAGGTGGTTGTTAAAGTGATACAGACACATGCCCTCTGTTGTCACGGTTGTAGATGATTGATACAGACACATGCTCTCTGTTGTCATGGTTGTAGATGATTGTTAAAGTGATACAGACACATGCCCTCTGTTGTCATGGTTGTAGATGATTGATACAGACACATGCCCTCTGTTGTCATGGTTGTAGATGATTGATACAGACACATGCCCTCTGTTGTCATGGTTGTAGATGATTGATACAGACACATTCCCTCTGTTGTCATGGTTGTAGATGATTGATACAGACACATGCCCTCTGTTGTCATGGTTGTAGATGATTGTTAAAGTGATTCAGACACATGCCCTCTGTTGTCATGGTTGTAGGTGGTTGTTAAAGTGATACAGACACATGCCCTCTGTTGTCACGGTTGTAGATGATTGATACAGACACATGCTCTCTGTTGTCATGGTTGTAGATGATTGTTAAAGTGATACAGACACATGCCCTCTGTTGTCACGGTTGTAGATGATTGATACAGACACATGCTCTCTGTTGTCATGGTTGTAGATGATTGTTAAAGTGATACAGACACATGCCCTCTGTTGTCATGGTTGTAGATGATTGATACAGACACATGCCCTCTGTTGTCATGGTTGTAGATGATTGATACAGACACATGCCCTCTGTTGTCATGGTTGTAGATGATTGATACAGACACATTCCCTCTGTTGTCATGGTTGTAGATGATTGATACAGACACATGCCCTCTGTTGTCATGGTTGTAGATGATTGTTAAAGTGATTCAGACACATGCCCTCTGTTGTCATGGTTGTAGGTGGTTGTTAAAGTGATACAGACACATGCTCTCTGTTGTCACGGTTGTAGATGATTGTGAAAGTGATACAGACACATGCCCTCTGTTGTCATGGTTGTAGATGATTGTTAAAGTGATACAGACACATGCCCTCTGTTGTCATGGTTGTAGAGGTTTGTTAAAGTGATACAGACACATGCCCTCTGTTGTCATGGTTGTAGATGATTGATACAGACACATGCCCTCTGTTGTCATGGTTGTAGATGATTGATACAGACACATTCCCTCTGTTGTCATGGTTGTAGATGATTGATACAGACACATGCCCTCTGTTGTCATGGTTGTAGATGATTGTTAAAGTGATTCAGACACATGCCCTCTGTTGTCATGGTTGTAGGTGGTTGTTAAAGTGATACAGACACATGCCCTCTGTTGTCACGGTTGTAGATGATTGATACAGACACATGCTCTCTGTTGTCACGGTTGTAGATGATTGTGAAAGTGATACAGACACATGCCCTCTGTTGTCATGGTTGTAGATGATTGTTAAAGTGATACAGACACATTCCCTCTGTTGTCATGGTTGTAGATGATTGTTTAAGTGATACAGACACATTCCCTCTGTTGTCATGGTTGTAGATGATTGTTAAAGTGATACAGACACATTCCCTCTGTTGTCATGGTTGTAGATGATTGTTAAAGTGATACAGACACATGCCCTCTGTTGTCATGGTTGTAGATGATTGTTAAAGTGATAAAGACACATGCCCTCTGTTGTCATGGTTGTAGATGATTGTTAAAGTGATACAGACACATTCCCTCTGTTGTCATGGTTGTAGGTGATTGTTTAAGTGATACAGACACATTCCCTCTGTTGTCACGGTTGTAGAGGTTTGTTAAAGTGATACAGACACATGCCCTCTGTTGTCATGGTTGTAGATGATTGTTAAAGTGATACAGACACATGCCCTCTGTTGTCATGGTTGTAGATGATTGATACAGACACATGCCCTCTGTTGTCATGGTTGTAGATGATTGTTAAAGTGATAAAGACACATGCCCTCTGTTGTCATGGTTGTAGATGATTGTTAAAGTGATACAGACACATTCCCTCTGTTGTCATGGTTGTAGGTGGTTGTAGGT